ATTGCTGAGTGTCTTGAAGGTATGTGAGCACGAACGAGTCTTTCTTGCTTTGCAGAGTCTTGCCAAGTTTTGACTGGTGTGCTTCTGTGGTGGGATTCCTGCCTGGTTCTGAGAGCCGCATATAGTCAAGAGTAGGAGAGGGTTTTCTTCTCTTGTTTTATGTCAAGTGACTGCTTGGCAAGGCTTTGATTTTTGCTGTTGTTTTTCTGTGGGGAAATGTGACCCATATTAAGTGTATTTTGTTTAGTATGCCCAGGACCTATAATTTCAGAAGTCTTCTCTACGTGGTTTTCAAACTTAAAGAGAAAAATACAATAATTTTTGCTTTTTGTTGTGTGGAAGCTAGTGCTAGGGGAGGTCGTCAGTTCTTCTACCTTGGAGTGAACAGTGGTAGTTGGTAAGCAAAGCAGGTTTTTCTGTATTAATTTAGCCATTGCAATCATATGAATGCATTGAAGGAGAAACTGCAATTAAATTTGCTATCAGTCACATCCATCAAGTGTGCTTAATGTTTCATCAAATTTTTTTTTCTGTCATCCCTATAATTCAGTGTTCTTCTTTGTTTGAAGGTGTGGCTGAAAGAACCGTAAAAGACTGTAAACTGCAATATAGAAACTCTTGTTTGTATTTAAAAATATTTTTAAACTGTAAAGGTATGTCAGAAGTTTCTCCTTCTTCCCCCTTGCTGAATTACTTTTTCAGGCAGTATCTAAAGGCAGAAAGTCCTTTTTTTTTAAATTCTTTTTTTTTTAATGTGTCGGATAAGATTTATGTGCAAGAGAATTGAGAGCTATATTAAAGACTGTGTTACTATCCATCATTTTTAAAGTGGTGTGAAGAAAAATAACACTATGTGTATGTGTGGCTACATTTGCAAAATTGTTAAAGGAGCAAAAATTCAAATGTAGTACATAATGCCAGGGATGCCTATTTGGAGTTATTCCCCCCTGCTTCTTCTTGGGTCATTGGTCAGTAGTAAGCAAAGATCTGTTGCTGTCTGACAGGTATTCACTGGTTTATGTTAACAAATATTTATAGGTATTTTCATGAATTGTTTCAGATGCTCATGCGTAGCTAAAAGTAAGGCTGTCTTCCACCCTCTATCCCAAAAATGTTCTGCAAATTTTAACAAAGTCTAAGTGGAAGAGGCTGAGGTCTATGATCCCATTGAATCTTTCACTCTGTGGTCTGTTCTGATTTATGGTGTCTTTCTCCTCCTACGTAATAAAGGTAGGCATTTCCCACTCGGCGCTCTCACATCAATCTCTTTCACTTTTCATCCTACTTTCTGGTGGGATCATTGTCAATAGTCGCACCTGCTTTTGGTCAGAGGAAAAAGGAATGTGGGGACAGTTTCTTATGTCTCTGGCATTTGGACTGCACTGAAATTGTACGTGCACACTTCCCTGTGGCAGATGGACATAAACCAAATAGCTTCTCATGCTGCAGAGGCTCAAGAATACCTACCAGAAACTGAACATCACCAGAGGTGGACAGAGCTCCAGAAAGATTGTCTGACATTGGGCAGTCAATTAGAGACTTGAATGAAGCACTATCTGTTATTGCGTATTACAAATAGCTGCGTTGAGAGAGGGTAGGAGAAACAAACAGTTTCCACCGGCGCGGGTTGTTGCAGAGGCAGGACAAGATGAGGCAGCAGAAAGGTATAGACCTCTACGTCTTTCCCTCCTGTTACCCACAGCTCAGAAATCTCTCTTCATCAGTACTTTGGAATCAGTTTTGAATAGTGTGAGCAAAGTAAGTAAAGCCTCTGGCAGTTACAGGAGCCTTTTTAAGGCTTCACCTAGAATCAAAAGAAACTGTCGAAGAAATTGAGTCTAGAGAAGCTGAATTTGGCTAATTTTCAGACAGTTGTTCTGTGTTGCACAGGTAAATGATTTGAGCTTTATTGTCTGCTGAAGGAACTTGTCATAAGTTTCTAAGTGAATTCTGAGTTTGTTCTATGAATATTGAAAAGAAGTTGCCAGGTGGAAGAATGAATCACCTTTCTCCTTGCATAGATTTCTCCCTTTTCTTCAAAAAACACATGCTTACAAGCCAGTCCTCCATTGTTAGTTTTATCATCTTTCAACCATATGGTATGTTTTCTTATATACGCCAAAGAAGTGGTACCATGTCCAGGTGTCATTCAACGTATCCTCTTGGCTGGCTCTCTTTAAGCCCAGTAGAGCACTTTTGAAAATCAAGTATTTCTCCTTCTATCCACATTTAACTGAGCGCTTTAATGAGGTCTTGCCAAAACCTTTAAAACTGGGAACAATTTAAATTGTAGTTGTATGGAACCTCTAAGCCAGGGAAATGAATAATTGTTGGAGACTACTTCTGTGACATAGCTTGGTTGTTTTAGTTTAACAAAAGTATAATACAAGCTTTGCATTAAGGAGCAAGTCTATACTTAGCTCATTGCAATGCTCTTAGCATGGTTAAAAGAGGCTGTTTTATTTTGGTGTCTAAAATTCTTTGTTGAAAGTTTCTTCCAAAATCCCTGTCTCAAGCATAAAGGTTTTTGTCACGTTAAGTCATTTATATGATTGACAAAATTCAGCATAGAATTGCAATTCCAGAGAAATGGTTTTAAAGGAAATAAATCTGAGCAGGAAGATTTAGTATAGGCATTGTAATGCCTTTCCCGCAGTTCCTGGGAGCTGGATTTTGACTACAGACTGCTAGAATCCCAGTGTTGTGGCTGTAAACACTGATTAGGGAGATTGAGTTCTTCCCAGGTGTTGAAATTACATGTGCTATTGCAATGTTAGGAGTTGTTCAAATCCATCATAAAAAAGGACTTTATAAATAGAAGTGTTTTGAAGAGGTTTGTTGAAATCATGTTCCTTTTAACTAACTCAGTCTGGTGGCTGGATGGCCTTTATTGAAAGTCAGCTTTTTAAAAAAAAAAAAAAAATTGCATCTAAGCAGTAACCATAGATACTTCAGTTTAATTACAATTTCCTGCAAAGATGGGTTCTTTGTTTTCTTTCTTTTAAACAGCCATTAAGAAGTACCATTCAGAACCATTGACTGAATGTGTTCTGAAGCTCCTCGATTCATTCAATATATGAATGACTTATTACACATTTGTTTAATGTGTAGAAAAAAAAAAACATTCTACCAGAGCAAACTTGAGGAACCTTTTGCTTTGCTTGAATGGTTGCCATCTTCAAAATAAAATTAGAGGCAGCTTAATTTTGGCTCTATTGGCTATTTATGGTTTTTTTGCTATTACAGTTTTTTCCCCAATTATATACTTGCAGTCCTTAGGTATATCACTAGTGTGAAAATGCTTTATTTTATTCCAAAACTGTGGGAAACTTACATTACTTTCTTCTGAACCTTTGATCCCAGGGCACCAGAAGTGCAGAAGCTGTAGCAGTCAATCAGGCTTGTTGTTCATCAAGTAGGAATTATCAGTTTCTCGAGTTACTTTTCCTCTTTAAAAGTTTGAAGCTGTTGTAAATTTAGACCAGTTGGAGTTTGGAACCAGTGCCTTAATATAGTAGTGTACAAAACTTCCAATTGTTTACAGTTTAATAGGCTAATCCTGCAAATGGTCAGTTGCATGCATATTCCCATTAATAGTTCTCTTGAATATGAAACAGGAAGCGTGGAAACAGCAGTTGTTAGTAAACAAGGGGAAAGATCACAGGAATGGCTATCGGGTGCCTCGTTGGTTTGATGGTGTGGGAGTTTTAGAGATAAAACTCCCAAAAACATCCTACGAGATGTCAAGTGGTGGTGAGAATGATTGGGTAAAAGATCAGGACTGAAAAGGAAAGAGAGAGATGAAAATAGAGAAATAGGGGAGTTGAAAGAGAAGCACAGCAAGTAGGGGAGCTAAAACTAAACCTAAAGAACCAAGAACTAGAAACGGTCAGTTGATGTGTTGGCCTCAAACCTGGGGTGTACGTGTAAGGGTAGCTTAGAAATATTGACTTATGGGCCTTTACCAAGTCATGCTTAGATCTGAAATTTCTTTTTCCATTTCTTTTTATACCCCTCAGGTTTATGGCAATGCATGGCACACCTAGCTGTCCATAGGAAATGTCTTGAAAGGCTGCACATTAGCCACTGTGATTATAACTCTTCTAAAAAAGAGATGTCATTGGCAGGCTTTCCCTGTGCTGGGTCAGCGTTTGTGTAGTCATGAGATATTGCTAGGGCAAAAAATATAATACATTTATCTGTAATATTTGCTCATTTTCAGGCATCATAGGTAGGAAAGCAGGAGATTGCATAAATTTTATTAGTGATCAAGCTGATGGAATATAATTGTAAAATTATAGACCAGACTGCTTGCCCTGCTAATTTAGTAGGTTAATGTAAATGATAACGTTTGACCTGGATTTTTTTTTTTTTTTTGGGGGGGGAGGGGGAGGAGCAGAATGTGTGTTTGTTTTTAATCTCTAGCTTTCAATTCTATTTTTCTAGAAGTCTATGTACTAGCTAACAACACAAGTCATGTCATGTTTGAAGTTTTGTGCTACTGGATACAGCTCTGTATAGGGGCACTCTGGCTGGCATCCTGTTTACTGGCTAGGAATCTGCTCTAAACACTACTAGGGAATATAATTATATCATAATTATTTCTCAGCTGTGCCTTTTGTCTAATTATATGCAAGTTTAAAACTATTATTTTGGCAGTTTTGTATAAATATTGTCAAAGTACTCTGCGTTTTGTTCTTCTCAGCAGCCAAGATATAAGAACTAGCATAGATGTTCTCACTTTCTTTTGTTGGGGGTTTGTGTGGCGTTCTGGGAGTGTGTATGCACACATGGTGTATGTATTCCCTACTATTAAAGATAAAGGAACCCTGGTGATTTTTGCTGTTATCTCTCTAATGAAGCATGAAGTCTGGGTACCAACAACAATAAAAGTAAATATTGTTGGCAGATAAGGAGTAAGCCTACAGTTTCTTTTCAATCACCACTTACACTTCTCTCCATAGACACTAACTTCTGACTGCTGTTTGCTCCTTTTTTAGGCAAATCTTGCTCAACTACTGAGTGAGGCTCAAGATCGAAATAAACATCTTGGAGAAGAGATTAGAGAGCTTCAACAGAGACTGGGAGAAGTACAAGGGGACAATAAGGTATTATAAACTTTTGTTATCAGTAAATGGCATCGAATGTGTAAATTGGGCTGGAGTTTTGCATTTACTTCTTAGGAGAACAAATAAAACAGTGGGTTGCAGAACTTCTAGAATACTTGGATTACAACAAGTGCTTAAAATAGTAGAATGAAAGAAGCTCATATAGGATACCAGTAAGTTCAACTTATATATTATTTATGTTGCTTTTGCTCTGTTGCTGTTAACTATATATTTTGCACCTAGCCTTGCTTTAATGATCTCAGTCTCTCTCTCCCCCCCTTCGCCTCTCCCCCCCCTTCCCCTTTCCCCTCTCTTCCCCTCTCTTCCCCTCTCTTCCCCTCTCTTCCCCTCTCTTCCCCTCTCTTCCCCTCTCTTCCCCTCTCTTCCCCTCTCTTCCCCTCTCTTCCCCTCTCTTCCCCTCTCTTCCCCTCTCTTCCCCTCTCTTCCCCTCTCTTCCCCTCTCTTCCCCTCTCTTCCCCTCTCTTCCCCTCTCTTCCCCTCTCTTCCCCTCTCTTCCCCTCTCTTCCCCTCTCTTCCTCTCTCTTCCTCTCTCTTCCTCTCTTGAAATTTCTCTTTCTTTCAATATATTTTATTAGTGGCATTTCATCTTACAAATAAGTACAGATAAGCATTTCTTTTTCATCATGTGATAATTTTCAATTTTTTTGCAATGAAAATGTAAAATTTTAGTAGATGATAAAAACAGGGGATGCATAGTTTTTCCCTTGAAAATGATGGAGCAGGTGATCCCAAGTATATATAGTGAGCTTTGTATTAAGCCCTCATCCTATTACCCTTACATAACGAATTTATTTTATTGCTAAATTTAGCAAGTTATATGGAACATTGCTCAAAATCTGCCATTTGGTATTAATCAAACTCCTGTTGTCTCTGTTAATTGAAATATTTAAACTCAAGCCAAATGTGTGTAACATTCACAGCTGGAGCTGTATGCAGAAGTACATTCAGAGATCAAACTAGTGAGAAGTTGAATTTGAGAGCCGAGGTGGTTAACGAAGTAAAAAATGAAACAAATAATGAATGATAACCTCCCTCCCTCAACTGCAGTTTTAAAGCTAAGGAATTTAGAAATGTGACTAAAAATTATGCGGCTTTTAATTATTCAGGTGGCTTTTTTCTTCCCACTTAAGTTAATTTTATTTGTTTTATTTTAAATGTAAGTATATTGTGATAATGCAGTTTTATTCATTGGTTATCACAAAGGACTTCCTTGAAGGTGTGCAGGGAGCTGGGAAAGGGTCAAGTGAGACCTGAATTTGTAATATGCGTAGCATTCAGTGTAACTTGCGCAAGTCTTCAAAGACCAGCTTCCCCAGTGTTTCTTTCTTCTTTTGCATGTTATCGTTTGAACTATATTACAGAGTGAAAGGCAGTGCCTTGCAGTTCTCCAGTACCAATATTATGCCATACAGCCTTTCCCAAGCCAGTCCTGAACAGATAACAAGGGATTGTTAGTACACACAGAACACAAAGGTGCACTACAACATATTTAAATACCCAGGTTATGTACCTATTCTGATTCCTTATAACAGTATGATCTTGGTAACACAGAGCTGCTTGCTTTGTGCTTGAACTGGCTTCGTTTAGATTTGCCTTTGTGCATTAACTTGATATTAGCTGGTCGTCTTTGTGATGTGTATTCTTGGCATGAATTTGAATTCATGGCCCTCGTAAGGAATGGAAAAATACAAAAAGAGTTATTCTGCCCACTGTGCCCCTCTCCAAAAGGTGCAAAATAGTGCATCACTAAATAAAGAGGAGGAAGAAGGAACTGCATCAGGGATTAATTTAGACGAGGATTTTCATTTTTGGAACACTTTCTTCACTTTCCTAGTAAATGAGAAATAGAGCTTATTTTAGAGTCAGGTTGCTGGTTTTTGAAGTGCCTAAAAAAGCATTGCCATCCCTCTGAGGGATTTAACACTCTCCTCCTGTGTCAGATTTTGCTCCCTTCTAGCTTTGGTGATAAAATTCTAGGCTTGTTCCCGAAGCCATTCTGTTCTGCTCATCAGTTCTCCTGTACTGGCAGCTGGGTTACTTCAGGCACCGGAGTCCAGATAATGCATGGTATATATAAAAACAAAGAACTATAATAATTTGCTTGTTCTTACATTTTTTCCCCTGCATTCTTCTCTGCTTTTTCCAAAGTGGGGGAGGGCATCCTGCCCAGCTGGTCGACGTCAGCCTTACTTCTGGCAAGAGATGAACAAACAGCTGCTTTTGCAGCAAGTGAAGCTGCTTATGGATGAACAATTCTGCCTGTGTCTGAGCAGGGGTGACTCATGCAGGCTTTGTCACTGAGTGGCAAGAGCTTTGTAGGACTAAAAAAAGAAAAAAACCTCTTTAAATATCACACATTAGCTCTATTGATAAAGAATTGTTTTGATAGCTTGACTTGTTTTTCACTGCTTTAATGTTTGGTACTAGCAGGATACAGTCACTTGGATTAGCAAGACCTTAAACCAGTGACATTTTACTTGTTGTTGAAATCATGTTAAGTACGTCATCAGTTAGGCAATAACAAATTACTTGCATTTGATTTAATTGGACTAATTTTTTCCTTTAATTTCAGCTAGAATTCTGTTGCCATGAATAATAAAACTTCTTCAGGCAGTCTCTGGAAGGATTTGTTGCTGCAGTTTCAGAAATACAGCAATAGTTAGACTGCAGCGCTCCAGCAACAGATATCTAAGACTATTTATTTTTATGATTGATCACAATCTCTTATCAGCTCTGACACATGAAAACTATTCTATGTTTATGCTAGTTATCTGTAAATCTTTTTCCTTCCTAACATTCTGGCAGCAATGCTTGGAGGACAATTACTGAAACTTAGAGGAGGATAGTTAGGAAATATTCTCTCTTGTAAAAGGGTGTAAACGGAAAGCATAAGAGAAACTGGAGGCTTCTGGAAGACTCAGTTGCCTTCACTTGAATTCCTACCCATGAAAGAAATGGTTTTGTAAGCTGTTGAGGGCAGTGCTACGCAAGAGGAAGATGCACGGAAAACAATGGCTGCGGTATTACTGACAGTTCGTTATTATAAGGCAGACATGCAGCAACAGTGCGAAATGTTAAATGTGGCCCATATGTTTTGGCAGAACTGGGACTTAAGGTAGCAAATTTGCATAGTTCTGGTCCACTTTTTGAGATTTTGTAGGCAACACAGTGAAGGGAATTGCTGTCAGTGACTGTGGCTAAACACGATAGTTTCTGCATTCTGGGAAGAATTTACTGGTTGTGCTTGTTTCTCTTTTCCTTCTGCATGTTTTATCGATAATCAGGAATGTACAGCTTCGGCGCAGGCATTGTCTGTGGACTCCTAGCCTGCACAGCAGCTATCGCAGTGAAGCCTGTTTGGGGCATCGTGGGGCTGCTAGAGAGTTGCTACTTTATAAATAATTATTTTAGGTGACATTGATTAAGAAAAAGTTGTGATATTAAAATAACAAAGACTAGTGGCTTGCAGCAGTGGATTGTTTTGATTAACTATCTATGGGTTCTTGACAAACAGGAGCTATCTCTGGTAAGGTGCCATTAATTTAAATCCACTCTGCTGTGGATGCTGTTCACAGAATCCTGAGGGGTAGCGTTAACCTATTCTCTAGCTGCAAAATGAAGTTGAGCGGTCCTTTCCTCAGTCATTTCCGAATGACAGAAATAAAAATACAGCAGCCAGAGGGCAGGTGTATAAAGTTTATAACAAAGCACTAATATGTGAAATAAACCCTTAACCCTCTGGCATAACACTTCGTGTCTCTTTGGGTCACAGCATTTTCAGGGAAGAATTTTATAGCAGGTGGTGCTGCCTCATGAGACATTCGCAATGCAGAATTAAAGGACTTGGCCTGTTCTGCCCTGTCAACTCTCTGATTGGCCAACTGTCTGCAAGAAGCACTCTGTTGGTTTATGGATTGGTATCTTACTTTATTTTATGTATTTTTTTAATGCTGCTTTTACTGGCTGAATTTGGATTTCTGAAGCATTCTTTTCATAAGACTATATATATATTTTTCACCTCAAAATTAGTAGTAAATAAGGAGTTCTCCTTTTATTGGCAGACTGTTTGACCTTGTGAGTAATAATTGCTTGCAGTTATAATTGCTTCTTATGCCTCACCCCCTCCCGGGCTGGAGGAGAGTTGGTCACAGTGCATGAGTCACAGCTCTGCTCCAGTTCCCAGCCTGGTGCCGAGCCTTACGCAGAAGTTTTGCTCTGCTGCAGGCATTGGAGGCATTGGTAAAGTGTGATTCCCCTTCCCGTTTCCAGTTTTTCTGAGCAAGATTGAGTCCTCAGAATGTTACTACATTTGTTTCTTACTGCCTTTCTCACTAGTGAGAGATTCTAGAAATAAAATTGATCTAACTGAATAAAATCACTTTACCATACCTTTTGTTCATCAGCATTTAAAAAAATAGGTCCATAGCTGTGAAGCCATTCCAGGATTTGCTAGTTGCCTTTTTGACTTACTTGTTTTGATAAAGAAATTAATAGGAATTATATCTCCTAGGATCCATTCAGCCTTACTAACTGTGCAGTGGTTTGTACTTTCCCTGTGGGGATAGGGAAATGTAGTTTGCCAAAACCAGTTACTTTTGGGGGCATAGCTTCCCCTGAACAAGTGAGCTGCTTATCAGAACAAGTTGTACTAGCTTCAGTGACTTGCACTGAACTGGAGCTGAAATAAGTGGGGAGGATGATTTTGATAGTCTGTCTTGCATCAGCAGGATTTTAATTGGCACATTGCAGCTATAGTGACTGGCATCCCATAAATACCAAAGATAGATTTTTAATGTACAATCTTCTACTTCAGAAGATTGATTTTTTTCTAACTCTGCAATATAATGATGTACATTAATTCTTTGGTGCCGTCAAAGATACGGGGAAAGTCAGGCTGGTTACTGTGGTGAGTTTCTCTAGTCTCTGTGGAGCTCCTACAAATGAGGCCATGGGGAGGCAACACTTTTGCCTACTTGTACTCAGTATAAACAACTGTAAATGCTGAATGCCCTATAAACTGTTATTTTAACACTCCGTGATTCTTGAAAGGTAGTTGCTTTTTGCTTTGGATATTGAATATAACTGTGTATTAATTCAAGTCAGACTGTTTTCAGCAGTCACAAAGCTCGTGAGTTCATTAGCTGTTTGAGCATTTTGGCCAAGTCTTTCTGTCGGCGGCCTATTTTTTCGTTTTTAACATGAATTAACTTTTGTGAGTAGATGAAAAAAATAATGCACAAGAAAACTTATTAGCAGCTGTTAATGCAAATTCTGCACTGATGTAGCGCATTGGGATTTTAATTGGTATCAGTAAAATGAAGATGGGTAAGCCACTTTGTACCTTTTTATTCTTAACTAGGAAGAGTTCTCTGCTGCAGAGAATTGTAAGATTTACATATGAAAATGTCTTTCTGAGAATTCTCTAGTTTTAGTCTGACCAGAATTAGTTCCTGTCACTCCTAAAAAACATTGACCATGTGTCTGTTTATTTGGGTTTTCATCATTTGTATATTCTGGTGACTGTTGTTGCAGGATCTAATTCAGCTCCTGCTGATGCTTTGAGTGTTCGACTAGAGTTTTTCACTGAGGACAGGATTGAGCCCTCCGCTCAGAAAATTCCTTCTGATTTAAATAATACCAGCTGTTTGGCCTGAAAGAGATGAAGTGTATGACAGCTTTACTCTTTCTAATGCAGATGTACTCTGATGCTACAGCCTGTGTTCTCTTGCTTACCAAGTCTGTTTTTGTAATCACAGCTTCTTCGAATGACAATAGCAAAGCAAAGACTTGGAGATGATGAAGTTGGGGCCCGCCACTTTGCAGCTCACGAACGGGAGGACCTTGTTCAACAATTGGAGAAGGCTCGAGAACAAGTAATAACTAAATGGGCATATGCTGTCATGTTTTACAGAGTCAGGGCAGTAGCAATTAAATGACTGCTTCTGTTGTGTTTGGAGGGCTGGTAGCTGATTAACATAGCAAATAGTGGTGAAGGTGTTGGGATTTTTACTGAAATAGTTCTTATTGAGCACTAACTTAAACATGCATACGTGGCTAGAGTGAGTTTCCTAATCTCAGGAATTCCTTCTCTACGTTATTGAGTCTCCTCTTTTTATGATGTGCAGCAACAACTTGTGACAATTGAATATTTTCAATGAACGTCAGCGAAAGAGACTCCTTAGTGAAAGCTGTTATTAGTATTCAACCCAGTATGTGGTGGCTGATGCATCTCCTAAAGATATTCTTTGAATCACATTTTCTGCAGAAGTGTTGTTAGTCTTCTCTTCCTCCTGCCTCTTAGCTACTTCTTCCCCTCTTTTGAAAAATTCTTGCATCAGACCTCTTTTCCCTACCTCAAGTCCATATTAATACTGTGTACCATGCAGCATCCAACTGATCACTTTTCCCCTATGATACCGATACATAGTTTTCTGGACAATTTGGGGGGGTTGTGTTCTCTGTTGTTCCCACACTTATTCCTACCAATGGCAGTTCCACCCTAAATGAGCCATTCTGTGATCCAGGAAGAGGTCTGTATTTCTTGTTTTTCAGTCTTCGCTCAAGTGCAGCATTACTTTAGCTTACCAGAAGGACTGTTGACTGCACTTAGTCTTCTTCCAATGTCATTCTCTCTGGTATCTCTGTTCCCAAGCTCATGCTCTCTGTGTTCATCACCTGGCCTCTTTTCAGTCGTTTTCTGTTGTCCTTCCTGGCTTATCAGTGTTTTTCTGAGGTGCCAGTGGAGACTTCTCAACTCACTGCAGACTTTTCTCACGCTCTCCATTTCCTCTCCTAGGAAATTTGAAGCTCTTTGTCCTTGAGTATCTTTCACACTGGACTCCTTCACCCTTTTGCTTAAGAGCAAAGTTCACCCTGTCAATTCTATGCTGGCTTGTTTTGTACTTTTCTCAGTTCTTCCTATTCTGTGGAACTTCACTGCTGAAAGTCCTGTAATTAGTATAAATTCCCCCTTACAGACTTTTTTTTCATCCTCCAAATGTGCAAAATTCTTACTCAGTAGAGTTCATTCCTGGAGTCCTGGAAATTATATGCTAAAACCAGCTTAATATATTTGTAACAGAATTGTAGTATGGATTAAGGTTTCTTTTGCTGTTACATTTTAGTTGTTTTCTAGAATTTTTTTAAAACAAGCCTAACTGCTAAAGTTACTTAATTTCAAATTAATGAAGTCATACCAAAATAGAGTAGGGTTACAAGCTTTGGAAAGACTTTTGACTGTCCAAAATCAATCCTGTTCAGACATGCAGTGCTTGTGGCTGTTTTCAGTCTGGGCACTATGTAATCTTTTGTTTAAACTTCAAAATAATCATACAGCTCTCCTTTCTTCTCAGATCGAGACCCTGAGATATGATCTTCAGGCTGCACTGGATGAGCTACAGGATGTGAAAGAGGAACGCTCTTTTTACCAAGATAAATCTGACAGACTAAACCAAGAACTCAATCATGTCTTAGGAGGGCATGAAAACCGTATCATCGATGTAGATGCTCTATGTATGGAGAACAGGTGAGTGCATTGCAAACCTTAGTGTTTCCCTAAAACAAGCAGTGTATTGCTTTAACTGGAGCATCAAGAAGTCAGTCACAACAAAACTTTAAAGAAAATATATCCAAGAATATAAATTAAGAGATTTTGGTAATTTGTTTTGTCTGTTCTGTTTGTACTGTAGCTAATCATCAAGTAATATTGAGAAAGCTAGGCTGCAGGAAATTACCAATGTTTTATTTGGCTACAGAGATGTCAGTGATATTCCCAAATAGAGCTAAACAAGGACAAGGAAGAGAAGTGCAGACCTTTTTATTCCCATCACTGTATGGCACCAAAAGCAAGAATATTAAAAATCAGTGTCTTCAGAAACTCTTAGTGAGCTGTAATGGGCTGATCTTGGATTGGAAACAGGGACTTTGAGTACCCTGAGTTAATGGTTTCGGACATAATTCTCACCACAGGGAGAGGTTGTCAACATGGAGTGATTTGCCAACAAAAGTTGCTGGTGAAATCACCCATGTAGATATTCTTGCCACTTCCTTGGGAAGAGAATGTGTTTTATGGTCTCTGCTAAGGACGACAGAGAGGAGTCATTGACAGAGCTATAGCAGGTACCTCCCTTAATGTCAACAGTTACCTTAAAGTGAAATAGATCTTTTAAGACACTTCCCATTTACAGAGACTTACACTTCAGGTAGGAAAGCGTAATACCAAAAGCATTACTTTCTCCCAGCAACTCCAGGGTTTTTTTCTGTTTTGCGCGGCCTACAGAGTTCTGTTTCAATTCCAGCCCCCTGCTCCCCTGACAGTGAGATGATTTTCTTCTCTAAAATAGTTAAATTGTCACAAACCCTAACACAGCTGCAGTTGCATTACATGAAAGAGGATATTTTATTAAAAGATATCTATTGAAAAGATATTTTCCTATGTGGAAATAGCAGTCTAATCCAAGTGCATAAACTCTCTTAGGAAGAACTGTACTGTTTCAGTTAACTGCATATCATTTTTCAACTATACTGTTAAATTTTCTACTTTGTGATTACTAATGAGAAGTGCCGTGTAAGTGATGGATATTGCAATGCAACAGTTCTGCATAGTTGAGTCTTGTGTTGACATATATACAAATCTTCATGTGTCCATCTCACAAACCTTCAAGTACAGAGGACAGGAGTAAATGCTTACTGACTATTTCCTCCAGACATAAATTCATCCTTTTAGCTTACCTCTCCAAAAACCTGAGGACCGATATAAAATGGTTGTGCAGCATGCTTGACAAATCTAAGAGAAGGGCAGCCTCCTTTTCTGATGCAGTTTGTTTCCCTAGTTAAAGTTTTATGAGGTCAAGAGCAGTAAGATTTTGTTATTTTATCCCTCACAAAACTGCAGGGGGAAAAGAACTCTCAGTAGTTCAAACAGAGGACATGCCAAATAGTAAAGAGGAGTGCTTGAGGCAGTACTTGAAGGTAACATGAAGTAAAGGATTACGCTTCTTTTTCAGGTATCTTCAAGAGAGATTAAAACAACTTCAAGAGGAAGTCAACCTTCTTAAGTCTAATATTACTAAATATAAGGTAAGATCCTCTCAGTGTATCATCTGAACTGCGCTTCGTTGTTCACAGAGGTTATTCTTCATTCTCATATTCATATGCATTTAAAGAAAAAAAATTGTGTCTTCAAAAGAAAAATCCACCATTAACATTCTGACAATATTAGTATGTGTATGTATTACATGCTCAGTCTTCCTCGTAGGCTTCTTAGCTGATGTAGTACAAAGGGATACCCATTAGGAGTATTATGAAAAATTAATTAAATACTTTTTTTTAAGTTTGGGGGGGAACCCTCTTCCTGCTGGGGAGGGTGATCAGCCTTCCAACCTGCTGGTAGCTGAAAAGTAGCAGGTCACACAGTGCATGGTGAATGACTGCCACTGTGTTGCTGTCACAAGCAGGTCTTATCTCCCTGTTCCCTAATGGCCACACCATTTCTTCATGTGTCTTAATGATTGCTAAGTCTTCATTGTTCTTCCATTCCTGGGTTAAGATATATGCTGTTTTGCATGAAAACTTCAGGACTGAATTCTGAGGGCAAAATATTCTTGCTCTTCCCTGAAGTCAAGCACTCTTATTTCCTTCTGCAAGTGATTTTGGGGCGTGGAAGGGGAGGGCCGCTTGTCAGGGCTTGAGAAAGGTTGTCTTAGGACTATCAACAGGACTTCTTAACCATTTAGGTCACTATGAAGCAGTCACAGCACTAATTGCTTTTTGTGCATGAGCAAAGCTCCTCAAAGGACCTAGTTCATTTCAGAGTCTGTTCACACTTCTGATTTGGGTCTCTCACAGTGTGAGTTAGTTTACTGGTGAGAACGGAGCATCTTGGTGGTCTGGTGGTTTTCACAGAACTGTAATTGTTTTGGAAGAGCTGGAGTTCCGTAGCAGGATCATTCTGCTGCTAATTCCTGAAAGTCAGTATTTGCTACTAAAAGGGCTTGTAGAAACTGTGATAGAGGAGTTTGAGCTTTCCTTTTGAAGCCTGTCCAAAGAAATGCTGGGGAAAATCCCGTTTTGTTCCCAGCTGATATTCTCTACAGGATACTGCAGTATCTTCACTGGCGCTCAGCAGATTATTAAAACATAGGCAAGTCTTAAAAATGCGTTGAGAGGAGTGGGTGGGAAAGACTACAATAAAGTGATTGCAGTGAGACAGAATGAGTCTTCATAACATTGCAAAGACTGTTTTGGCTGGAGAATAATACTCCAGGAAAGTCACGCTCTCATAGGTTACTGTGGGTGTAAACTCCAGGTCCTTGTAGAATTGTTCTGAGACTAAAATCCAAAGTTCCAGATTCTTTACTCCTAATGAAAGGATTTGTTGGGTACTGTTTCTCTAAATAAGATATTTGTTGTTTCCTTAGAATGCACTAGAGAGGAGAAAAAATTCAAAGGCTCATAGTAGATCCAGTAGCAGTGCTCTGACTGGAGTCCTGTCTGCAAAGCAAGGTATTACATAAATGCAGCATGGTGTTGCATATCTCACTGAATTCCTTCCATCTTACCTCTTAATTTCAGTAACCCTTTCCTCACCAGCCAAACCAAAATTTTCTTCTCTTCCCTGTTTATTATCATGTGCTTATTTTTGTCCTTTTCTCAGTTGACTTGACAATATAAAATTTGCCTCTTGAGTACTGTTTCTCCTTTTGTTACTTTTTTGCCATTCATTCTCTCCCCCGTCAGTGTTATCAAATTTTTTGGTTTTTAAATCTCTAAACCCTCTGCAACTTTGACCCTGACAAATCACTTCTTTATTCATCTCTTTGCTCTGCTAACAATGGCAATCACAGTTCATATTCTGATGAAAAACAGACTGGGTGATAGAGGAGGGGCCTGTAAGTCAGGTTTTCTGCTCATGTTCTTGGAAGCTTTTACATTCAGATGTTTTGCAAGAAATCCTTTTGTCCTGTGTTTCTTCATGGGATAGAAAAATGGAGTAATCTTTTTTTCCCCCTTCAAAGAAAATATCAAGATTAGGAAAGAAAGGAGAGAAAACTCTATACAGTATACCTCGTACGTTACTGTTTAGGTATTGGTGTATTCATACACACAAACGGGATCAGCAGTATTTGTCATGGTGGGTTGAAACTAGCTTTTCTGGTTTTGACTTCTCTTCTGTCCTCTTTTCCATGTACTTGTGTACATACACACACGCGTGCGCACATACACATATATATAAAAAGAGGCAGAGCCAGATTCTAGTTACAGAAGTTAATGATACTAGTGAACTTCCTGATGTGGTTGAGAGGTACACGCTCTAAGCCGCAGAGGAAGAGTTCATGGGTGACTGTATTTTCACATCAGTCCTGAAGGATAACCTGAAGGATATAATAATTCTAAAAAGTAATACAAAAGCTTCCTTGTGGGCTTATGTTTTAATGTAAGTGGGAGAGAAATGACCGATTTTTACCAGTCTGTAGGCCTATAGGAGAATGAGTTTGTTTCCTTCTGTACAAAAATAATTTTCCAAAAGCAGAATTAAGTTAATGTAAGATGTGTCTGCCTACACTTGTTCTGGCAATTGCTGTGGAATAATGATCAGCTTAGAAAGCCACCATATTTATGCCAGCTAGAGATTATATTTCTGGTCTTTTGGCTTTGTTTATTAATTGAAGGAAAAAATATATATATTCAAGTAATGAGAGTAGTTCTTTTATGCTAAGTAAATGTTTGTGTCACATCTCTGTGCTTGAGAAGCCGAAACTCATTGTGTTTTTAACATTATAGTCCAAGATTTGTTGTCGGAGGATCATGGATGTAGCCTACCAGCCACACCACAGTCCATTTCAGATCTCAAATCACTGGCCACTGCATTGCTGGAAACTATCCATGAAAAAAACATCGTCATACAACACCAAAGGCAAACCAACAAGTAGGTACCATGACTTCTAAGTAAAATAGAACTTACCAAGCTATGGAAAAGTCATAGTTTTGAGGGAGTTTCAGGGAAATGGGAAGGAAGGTCCATTTTCACAGAAAATTCATTGTCATTGTTAACTGGTGTGTTCTTTAGTTTTTAAGATCAGGTATGTGTTTAGAGAAAAATTACATTTTCACAGTAAAGTCTGGGGCTGACAGAGACCTGTCTGCCTCTTCTAGGCGAGGATTGGTTTGCTGCTCAGGTTTCAGACAAACCATAATAACACAGGGGGGACTTCTAGCAGGTAGCCTGCAGGGAGGGCTGAAGAAAAGCTGCCGGGAGGGAGGACACCCTTGAACTGGAGGAGAAGATATGTGATAATTGGTTGTTAATGTAGGAATTTTTGCTAATGAACACTGGTGGGAATAGTAAATGTTGCACTTAGGAAAGGGTCTGAAAAGATTTAGTGTAACGTTTGTCACTAGCTAGCGGCCTATGTGTTGTACAAATGATAGCTGTTGCTCCTATAGTTACTTTGCCAAAAGTTGTAGGAGGTAAACATAGGTGAATTGCTACTATGTGATTTTTTAAAAATCTGAACTGAACTTTCAAGGAGAATTTGTTTACTCTTAGCTGTTCTACTCATCAGTAGAATTCTTTGTGTCTCGCATAGCTCCCATCGTGCCAGAATATAATAATTTTTGACACATTTTCTGACATTCTGATAGTATTGTCCTTATACAGTGTATGAAAATTAGAGCTAGGAAGTATTCCTTGATTCTGTGCGCAGTATTTTTTCTTTTCTTTTTTTTTTTTTTTAGCACTGAGTCACTACTGGTAATCAGAGGTTTATTCAGGCTTCTCAAAAGCACATCAGGACCAGATGCCAGAAACAGGCAGGGCAGACATCTTTCACGAAAGGAAGAAGTAGTACTGAAGTAAACTGTATTGCACTAGAATACATGATTCATTTGAAAATTGGTAACTCTGATACTAGGTGGACTCCATTGCATAATTCTTAGTGATGTGGCAACAGAAGTGGAAGAGCAGTTTATAGCCACTCTTAATACTCTTGAGAAAGCAAATGCCTAATCAGCTAAAGGGAGACTAAAGCGGTGAAAATGTAGCCCAGATCTAACTGACGGCAGCTCAGTCAATTCGTGTCTGTTAAGTGTGTCATGTAATACAAGAGGGGTTCCGGCACAGAGCAGTGCTAACAAAGGGCTAACACCTGCTTACTCCTTTTTTTACTGCTAATGTAATATCAGAAGGAAAACATCCAGAGAATAACTTCCATTATTCCAAGTATAACCAATCTTTGCCTTTTACATAGGCATACTGTACATACTGTACATACTATACATACTGTACATACATACCTGCTGTTCTAGTTTACATACTCTTGCCTATAACCGTAGCAAACTTCTTTCTTAATTTTATGTCTCTCTCTGATCACATGTAGTCTCTTGCATCTCTCAAATGTATCATTGCAATGATGGCTTTACTTTCTGATACAGCTGTCTCTGCTTTCAACTATTGAGTATGGGTTTTCTTGAGATAAGCCTTCACAAGGAGATAAGATTCTTTTATCTGTGTGCCCAACTGGTCATATATAGCCACGGGAGTAGGGACTGAATATGTGCACAAACTAATATTCTGTGCCCAATGGAAGATCAGATCTTAGAGGGAGGTGACAGTCCACATCTCTCTCAGGTCAGGAGTGTGCTCAGAGCTGTAGTGTTGTGCTCAGTTCAGGATGCTTCAGGGGAAAAAAAAAAAAAGACAAATCTTGGGCAATTTGAGTGAAGAGCCTCAGCAACACTCCTATGTGGTATGCTCATTCTTTTTGCCACCTTTGGCTTTAGTTGAATGAAAGAAGCTTTTAAGGAGCTAGGAGGAATGGGAACCACTTCAAGTGGAAACACCTAAGACACAAAAGGGTTAAAGTGTAAAAGGGAAATGCAGGCAGGATATCAGGGAAAAAAACATCCTTTATTTGAGGTGCATTAGCTGGTTGTTGGGGGCGCTTATTTGCTGTGTAAAAAGTTACAAGTAAAGACTGCTGACTTCTGAAAATCGGGAAGAAAGTGCCCACCTGTCGAAGAAGGTTAGAGGTGAGAGTGAGGTCAGTGCACAAGTAAAACAGACGGGTCCATAACCTGGTACTAGTAGAAGATGCCTTCTTTTGTTGAAAACATTTCTCCGTTGAAAGTAGGCAATTGAGAAGGATGTGGGGATAGAGAGAATTGTAATGACAAAAGGCTTGACATAAATCAGAAGGTGGAAGTCTTTTCCTTCACCCCTCTGTCCTGTTTGCCTAGCTTTCCCTGTGCAAAGAGCATGCTTGGAGGACACAGTTACTCTTTGAGATTGTCATGTGAAGAAGGCAAGAACATGAGATTTTGGGGTGCTTGTTTCATTCAGGGAAGAAGTTCTGCTTTGATAGATGGTTGACCTATTAGTGATTCTATTATCTGTAAATTAGACTTTTCAGACCTTATGAATTTATTTTCCTCCAAACAGTTAACCTACCCTAAAGTCAAAACTTCTTTTATTGCTTGCAGATTGATTTACAGCTATGTGGGTTTACAGTAGCAGAAAGGTAGATTTGCTTTCTGCCTAACTGAAGCAAAAACAAGACAGTGGATTTTTTTAACGTAGATTAGAATTTGGATGTTCTGTTGAAGTTGACTTTCTGCTGTTACACGGCTGTTAAAAACATCCGTTGCCACTTGCTCTTGGAACAGACACACTATTATTATTGCTGCTTTTCTAAATATGTGGCATGATAAAAGGAGCCGTGGGAGTATGTGCCTAGGAACAAGTGGGCTAAATCCAGCCTTTGATTTTTTTAGCCCTACTTTTAAGAGAAAAAGAAGTTGTTAGGGAAGAAAACAGGTCATTTTCTCCAGGTGATTGGTAGCTACTACTGCTAAGTTTAAGTAACGTCCTATGTTTTTCCTCACGAGCACATTAGCTTAATTTGAAAAGGCAATTGTAAATGAATTCTGTATGCAGTAATGTGTTGCAAGATTAAATAGTTACATAAATGCAAAAATAAACAGTCCTAACCTTGCCTAACAAGGGGATAAAAATCTTTTTTTTTCTTCTACCAGCAATAAACCGTTTATTAGATGTTCTTTTTAGTACAATTTGTTCCTGAAACTGCCAGCACCCATGCAAGCCTGATCAGTGTAGAAGCTCCTCTGCTGCTTAGACATGTTGCACTAATTTTAACATTTCTAACTTGAGCAAGCTCGGTCATGACCAAAATTACAAAAAGGACTGTGTCAGTCTGTAACTGAGTAAATGTTTCCATGGGATGTATAGAACTAGATATGTGACAGTGATAGACCCTATTTACAGACATTTGGGTGATTGTATCTGTATGAGGGTACATACCTTCTGTAGCAAGATCTAAATTGAAAGTGAGGTGAATGGAGCTCACATGCTGTAAATCATCACAGCTCCCTTCAGATGATGGCCATGTATGTTGGGAAGCATGGGAGAGCTAGAAAGGAGCTTCTAAATTCAGGTGGGAGCATTGCTGCTGTTACGTGAACAACAGATTTCTGTAAAACCTTATCCTGGAGGGAGGTTTAGACTAACTCCCTTGTTGCATTAGACACAGAAATAGCTATCGACACCTTTGTCCATGACATGATCCTTCCGTTTTAAGTTGAAGGATCTGGTTGGATCGGTTCCACTAGGGCTAGAGGTAAAAAAACAGATTAGAGAATTTCATACTACCAACCCATGCAGCCCCTTTAAAAATACCTACTCTTCCAGGCCACCACAGCTCAGTCTTTGCACAGCACATATGGAGGTGGCAAATTATCTGGAGATCACATGGGAAAGGAAGGAATGGGATAAACCACACTGTGTTTAGGATTACTTGCACATTTATTTTTCAAAAAATGTTTCTGTAAGAACTCGCAGCTTTAGGTAGGGTTCATTTCTCCCATATCTGTCTTCAGATAATGTAGTTCAGAGCAAACTAGAATCATAGTCACCACTGAATGTATTTTTCTCTCTTCCTGAATGAAAGGAGCAGGGTTAACTATTGTCCTCTCGTTTTGCCAACCATTATTCAGAGCTGCAGGGTGATCCTTCTATCTGAGAACCTGCAACAAAGGTTAAAAAACAGCTCAGCGCCTCTTCTGAGGATCCAGTAAGAATTATTGGGATATATTTGTTCCAAAGCCTTCAGAAATAAGTGTGGTACAGCTGATAAATGAATTATAAAATTTAAGAGAAGCAAGAGAAAAGTCACTTTGCTATTGTTGGTGTCTGAATAAAAAGAGCAGTAGCAATAACTGAACTTGATGCAGAGGGTTGAGTTTCCTTCTGTGATACGGCTAGTCCAGAGGGAGGGCAGTATCTTTCCCACCTTTTCTGCCCTGGAACTGCAGGTGAACTACTTACAAAAAGAATATGGATTTTTTTCTTTTCATGGCAAAAGTGCTAAACTTGTGACCTGTCTGGGGTGACAATCATTAGCCACATCAACTTTGTTTTGTCAGCTCCCTGGCTGAGCGAACATGACGTGGAAGAAGTCTTGCATCATCTCTGTTCCCTGCCCGTCTAAAGCCCGGGGAACTCCGGGTCCTTCAGCCGACCCGTGGCGGGGCCTTAGGGAGATGGGAGCAGGCTCCCTGTGCGCAAGGTGGAGCTTCTTGTGAGTTGCTGTGTGCCTTTCTCAGTCACCTGTTGCTTTGTGCTGCAGAGGGCGGTGGCTGGATGTCAGGCCATACACTGGGATATAAAAATTGAGTTAAGGCTGAGTCTCTCATACCAGATGGAAGAGTTCTGAAAGCGAAATCTAGACTTGAACAATTTTGATTGTAATTGGAGAAGACAGTAATAGATCCATCATAACCTTGGTAGCCTATTTGATTATTGAGTTTCAACGGGGAAATAAACATAACTGCTCCCAAATGCCATCTCTCCTCTGCTTGTAAACTTGATGGACTGTTTGCTTTTTAGTTGATATACACCCATGTACCTCTCAGTGCTTTCTTTGATATTTATTACAAGCTTTCTCTTTCTCTTTTATATTCTCTCCCTCATCCTGATATTTTTGTAATCTTTAAAATACTCACAGGCTTTTATTGTGTCATTGCAGAGCCCTGACAGTAGAGATTTAAAAAATACTTAGTCCTTGTTAATCAATTTTTCTAGCCCCTTTGATATTTGCTGGGTTTGCTATTCTTCACGTCCTTCCCAGATTCTGCCATCTTGTCACTAATGACATTCCCAGTATGCTCAAATGTCTGCAGCATAAAACCCTCGGTGGAGAGCATGCAGTGCAGTATTACACAGCTCTGGTGAGCATGGGAAGATACTATTGCCTTGCTGTGCTGTGATGTGCTGCTTCTCAGCATTCACTTCAAATTTAACTGACTTACCCTGTTGCTGTAATTTGATGAGTAAAACTTGCTGTCCATTATCTCTGCTGTCATGTTTAGAATTGCTGCCTCGTCTAGGTTTCTCACTCTATTGAGTATTGTTTGGGATTTATTTAAAGACTTTTAACTCTAGGAGACTTGCTGTGCCTGTGAGAGAAACACTTTCAAAAATTCATTGGAAAAAAGAGTGTTCTCTGCAAGATAGAAATCTCTCATTTGATCTTGGGAGAGAATTAAGACTAAAAGTTAAATCCTGCAGGAGAGCTAACTGCAAATAGTATTTGTGTACGAATCAGATACAAAAGAAGAGATGACCCAAGAAATGCAGTGAAAACTAAGAGTGGGTGATAAAGGCACTAAAGAGCTTGAAGCTTTTTAGTAAAGTAGAAAACAGTTCAGCACTAAAAGAAAAGATGTAGTGGAAAAGATATTCCTTGCCATTTTAAGCAATCATAGTGATAGAAACACCTCTGTTAACAAAGGACTAGGCCAAAATTGTGTCTTAGGACTTCAAAATCAATCTAGATGTTGTCTTGAGTTTTCCATGTTTTGTCTGCATAGCTTTTACCTTCTGGTTTTAGCTGTAGATAAAGTAAAAGTAACCAGGAAGAGATATTTGCAGGCAAGGAAATAGAAATATTGTGAGTTGCTATTCTTCGTCTTTACTGAAGAGCAAAGGTTAAATGGTTGAATGTCCAGTATATTGTGTGGGATAGATCACACAACTGTATTTCATTTTCTTTTAACTCTGGGGGAGCTTGTCCATTGCCAATATGACTGTATACAGGTTTACTGAGCTAGTTAAGTAACAAGTTAAAAATTTAACTGTAATAAGCAATTGGGCTTTGGTTACCTCAGTATAACAAGGAATCTCGTCTCAGTTGACTATCCATCCCTAGCTTTTGTTTTTGTTTGCTTTTTCCAAAGAATTCTAGGTAATCGAGTGGCAGAACTAGAAAAGAAATTAAGAACTTTGGAAATTGCTGGCTTGTGGAGTCTTCCAGGTTAGTAAAAATTCAAGAGAACAGCTTGCATTATTTAGTTTTAGAGGGTATATTTGCATTTAAGAAAAGCTTGGCTATAATTTTTTTAATGACAGTTATTTTGCGAATGTGCTGTTCAGCACATTTACAAAATTAGAAACCTCTAATAAATGTTAAGCTGAAACCAAAAATCACTAGACTCTTTAAACTCTAAGTCAAATATGTATACTGAAAAAATAGTTTTAAATACTGGAAATAATCAAATTGTCTCCATAGTCTGCAGGCAAAAAAATTGAACTGTTTTATTTAAGCAGTTGTATAAAATGATACACAGGATATTGGCCATTATGTTTTTCAACAAATTTTATTGATTAATTTTGTACTTCTTGTAACTTCCGTGGATTTTATCACTGTATTTTTAATGTTCTTCTGTAGAATCATAAACTCTGAGAAATTGGAAATGTAAATGATCTTAAATTTTCTAGTCCATCTCTCCAGAACAGGCTTATTCCCTGTGGCATCTTAAGTATTGTATTTGGGTTTGAATTACTCAAGTAATGGGAGATTAATCTGCTTCCTAATATACCTCACCATTAAGAAAATGTGCAATATTTAATTTACATTTACTTTTTGCTTCTTTTCTTCCCATTACACCTAATTGTGTCTTCTTTAACCACTGTAAATTATGCTACTCCATTATTGGTGTTTGCATCATTAGGCTTTGTTGTTTACAGCTTCCTATCGGTGCTACAGGGGGTGGGAGATAGTGTGGTTTAGGCTTCCAGTTTTTTGGCTCTGTATTTTTTCCACCTAACCTTTCCATCTAGAAGAGAATACTTGACAAAGCTGGAGAGACTGATGCTGTTCAACCGTTTGCCCAACGTGGTGTATTTCCACTTCAGCTTGCCTGTTGTAGGCATTCTCAATCACCATGCTGGAACTGGCTCTCTTGCTGACGCTTTCCACAACGGAGGGTCCCAAATTTGTTGCCATGCATTACTCTTCAGTTAGTCACCTAACATACATAGTACACTTGGTGCATTTGTCCCTCCCCACATTCTCCAAAAGGTGCAGGTGAAATATTTGTCTAAGACCCTCCTAATGCGGTTTTGTACATTAATACAAATGTGTATCATAAACTCAACAGTTTAAGGTACTGTAGGTTGGGGTTTTTTTTCAAAAACAGTGTTCCATTAAATTCATACACTAATAAAGGTAGCATTTCTAATCTTTGCATAATGTATTAAAAAAATGGGACAGTGGGAACTTCTTGCACCGTTGTGGGTCTCTGTAGGTAAGACATCAAATTAATGTTTATACAATAACAACTGTCTCTTTCCTTCCTTTCTTTTGCTGCCTGAAGGCCTGAGCTACAATGTCTCAGTGGGATTTGGGAGTAGGTTCTGCTTGACATATATTTTTAGTAACTGATTTTAGCAGTACGTTAAATATTGTCACTGCATGTAAATAAACGGAAATGTTATCTGAACATTTTTATATCCGGCAGATTAAGATGTTCAGTCAAGTGAGTTAGATGACCACAAAAGAAATAGAGACTGCTCTACAAAACAATTCCTTTAAAGTGACAAAAGTAGTAAGAAAGGATGATCTTAAATAGTTGTAAAGGAATTTTACACTGGATTGCAAGTTCTGTTGAGCCTCAAGGTTTGCTGTTTCGCTGCTTGCCTTTTAAATTAAGAGTGCACTTTTGTTTCCAAGTGCACTCTAGTCCCAAGGTGGTCAGAAAGAGCCTTGCAACACCTGGTGGGTCACCAATTTTCTTTTCAGAGCATGGAAAGCTTCCGCTCCATAAAACAGCAGCATGTAACAAATAGTGTGGGAACTGCCACAGCGGACTCTGCAGCTGGATGTTGGCTTGCGTGAGGGGCAGAACGTGGAGACTCTCTCTCATCTAGTCAGTCTTAAATCCAGAGAGAAAAAATTACTATGTGGTTGTGAGTTGAACTTTTCATCATTGGAAAAAATACGCAGATGAAAGCTGATGTTCAGTCTAGCACTGAAAGAAACGCACGTTATAAATTGCAGGTTTTTAATCTGAAGTTAATGTTCCTCCTTAGGCATCATTGTCCATATAACATTTATAACATCCGCTGTCACCATGATATTAATAGCTTCCAAATGGTGTTAATAAATGATGTTAGTAAACTTTATCCTATTGAAGAAAAAGCTTGACCGCTTCCAATTTTTTGTTAGGTGACATATTTGTCATCTGCTTTTTGAGCAACGCATGAATGAGCTATGGGGAAGCTAAATCAAGAGGAAGTGCATATTTAATTTTTGAAATGGTGAAATTGGTAGTGTAGCTATTTTTCTGTAGAAGTTCTGCCTACCACAAACTTTAGCTCTCTTCTGTTTGGAAAATGGACTTTAATTAAACGAATGTCTTGCGAGGTTCATTGCTGAAAAGAAAGCAAGCTTTGGCATAGATTTGGCTCTGACTTTCCTTTTATGAGCCTACTTGCCTTGAGAAGGAAGCAGAGAATGTGATGTTCTCAGAAGCATTTAATTCTTTGCATTGTCTTAGGTACACTGTGGTTCAAATATGCAGGCATAATATGTTAAGTGTATTCAGTAATAGTACATACTGAACACCACCTTAATCCTCCCACAATTTGATGTTACTAGACATTCAGATAAGTAATTCCGTATTTTTTGAAGCTATCATTTCCTGAAAATTCCCACTTTCCACTGAAAAAAAAGCCCTAGAAAAGAGGCGACCATGACTCAGCCTTTTTCTGTCTGGGGTGATAAGAAGGTTTCGGCACTGCCCCTTGCTCTGCAGTAATCAGCGTGGAGCAGAGGCATGGTAGAATTAATGGGCTCAGCAGCTGCTGTGGGTATGGCCAGTTACAGCGGCGTAGGGTGCAGCAGAGGTTATAAGAAGATACCCAACCCTGGAGAAGAAAATGAAGCATTTACTACTACTGAAAACTTATTTGTCTGCTTATTTTGAGGTCTGTATACTTTTCACTAAAGTCCTTGAAAAATTCATTAAATAGGGGAACACAAATCTATATAAGTTATGAAATTGAGCTTACACGGCAGCTAATTGAAATTCCCTGTGTGTAATCCAACTTCAGATCGTGATTCACAGAATATAGTGCAGCAATACCCCCATGTCCCTCCTTCATGGATGGATGTGAGTCACTGTTAATAAATAAATATTCATCAGACTCTTTGGGCCACATCTGTTGCTTAGATGTGTGGATACTGAGCTTGGCTTTATTTTCTGTAACCAAGTTGGTTTTTAGAGCAAAATGTGAAAGTAAATGTGTTTACTGTGTAAATGCTGGCTGGAAGTCAAGAAGTTTCTTTTCTGAAGCTTGTCTTGCAATCTTCAGAGGCTTTAGCTCAGGCTTTACTTCTTTTTAATCACAAAAAAAAAAGAAAAGGACTTTGCTTTCTACTTTCTTGTTAAAGCCCCCTCCCCCCATTTTTTTATTCATCATCTTTTTGAATTTTGCTTCCTCTGTTGGATTCCTTTGTATCTTTTTGGATATGTGGCTACTTTTGACTGTGCAGGAATATCTATTGGATGTTTTCATACCACTAGTTCCCTGCACGATTCAGTTCTTTTTCCAACACAAAATTCCTTCCCTGTTGCAGGGGAATGTATTTGTCTAGGGGCTTTTGCTTTTTTTTTTGTTTTTTAATTAATTTTGCCTTACACTGGGGGGGGTTCTCCGTTTTTCTGTCAGTTAATATTATTTTTTATTACTTGCTATGGTGAAGGCAGAATTCTGATGCATACTCAACAGGGGGATCAAAGCTTGACAAGATCCATGTTTCAAAAGCATTAATTGCATTTGTATTGCTGCAGTATATACCCCACCATGTTAAGTATATAAAAATGCCATTAATACTGCCAGGATCAAGGTATTTACAGCCAGTGCTTTCAAAAGTAGTTAGGGATTGGGGTACTCCAGTTAGACTCCATGGGAACAGCTTGACTTTCATTATTTCTTAATAGGTACCAGAACTTTCTCAGAGCTGGATTAATTCTGGGTATCTCCTGACCTAGTGCTCTTCTGAAAGTCTTTGTCTTGGATGGGTGATTAGATTTAGGATGTTGCCTTAAGGTGAAACGTACAAACAGATTTAGAGGGGAGAAGTGGTTCTTACATAAATGTCCGTTCTTATGGAGATAAATAGAGCAGTAGCTTGCCGCCTCCCCAGCCATTACTTTTCGGTTGGCAGTTGTTCTGGAGGCCACACAAACACCACGCTTAGCTGATCTTGCACATTTCCTGCCATTTCCCCTCTAGGTTTAAGGTAGTGTCAGTCACTAAAAACATGAGCATCCCAAATAGTGGAGGACTTCCTAAAGGATCTGCAGGTGTTGCTTTCTGTATTGCTAAAATATGTAAAGACTAGGCATCTACAGCAGAGTCCTCAGCTGAAGAGTTTCTTGCACTATTTTGTCTGCAAAAGAGCTGGAAAATTGCCCTTTTCCATTTGGCTTAAAACAAAAATGCTCAGAAATGGGTTTGAAATTTTCAAATTAAAATCCCTCCTGTTCCTCAGCAATGTGTGCTTGTTTGCTCCCTTAGTTCTTAGCTGTGCTAAGCTTTTAATATTTTTTTTTTAAGGGAGCATTGTAAGATAATATGTGTGCCAGTCTGTAGTGTAAAACTACATATGTGATACGAGCAGGTACATCATTGAGGCAGAGCAATAGAGAATGAAGAGTCAGTGCTGAACACTTGCTGGTAATAGCATGCAAATGATCCATTACTCTTTGTAAAACTTTTGGTACAGTCTGATTATTAATATTCTGAATTGAATGCTAATTGCTAATACAATTTGCTGCATACAGCACCTGGTCTTCTTTCAAAATCTGTTCTTTACTCAGTACTGCGCGTAAAAACGTACACCTTTTCTTGTATGTGACTTGCATGTTCCAGCTCCAGTACAGAGTATTTTTTTCCATGCTGTAGAAGGATCATTTGAGATGCTTTTCCTTTCAGTACTTTTCAATAACATTGAAAAAAAGCTGTAGGATGTTTGAATATCATTAGTGCACAATGGATGTAACTGGTGAATTAATAATTCTAACACTTTGGTTGTTTCAGGTGGAAAGGATACCATAATGTTCAGTGACCCAACCTTGCCTGTTATACAGCGGTCCAGGTCACCGTTGTTAACGTTTACTGATAAGCCACAGAAAACTGAAGTACAAGGTGAGCACCTGGAACGTAAGGAACGTGATGAGAGCTGAGCACTCATTTCTTTCCAAATAAAAAGTAATAAATTTTCATGCTGGGATAGCAGAAGGCAAAGTTTCAGTGGTCACAGAGATTGAATGAATCATCCACAAGTAAAATGGATAGACAGTCCCAGTACAAATAGCAAAGAACAACTGAAAAATGACTGTTGAATAGATTTCACGGGGCTAGGGATCAGGTCTTACACCTCAAAGAGTTTTCCTGCCAGATAACTTGATACTGTGAGAAGTTATTCATGCCATCTATGTTACAGTTAACTGCCTCCTGCTCTTTTTCCCTCAGTTAAAATGCACAGTAGGAAAGCAGTCTGTGGAACTCGCTTAGCACTTTCCTGCATTATAGCTGATATCTAGATGAAAGGCTTCCTGATTGCGCCCGCTAAATTGAAATACCTGACTCGTTTTCCCAGATAAATTGACTGCTTTTTTTATAGTCTTGCATGTGTTTTGTTAAAAATCCTTCCCCAATAGCAAGCTTTAACATCTCTCCAAAGTCAAGCTTAACTTTATTTGACAGTAGCAGAAGATAGTGTTTTGCTGATAACCTTGATTCTTTTTCCATAGTTTTTCATAGTGGATGGGAGATGGATTATTATGCTTGCCTATTGGCATTTGGGTAAACTCTTTAATAGGCATAACGTTTTGGTATGCCCAGTTCTTACTCAGCTAACCATTAAGCATCACAAACAATTTGTTTGGTAGTCCTGAAACTAAATAGATTGTGGCTTAATTTTGACTTTATTATCCATGTCATCATCTGATAAAATTTGACAATCCAGACTGATCGTTTTTTATAATCTTGATCAGCTGATATTTTTGCTAAAAATAAGAAGTGAAACTAAAGTGAATAGTTCTCTGGTGAGTAATAGTAACTCATAAATATTCATTTTTTGCCTGCTTAATCATTGATTTTTAATTAAATCTGCAGTTACTGAAAGTATTTACTTGGTGGCATTATGCTCTTTCTTTTATGCATTTGTCCTAGGTGAGGTTGGTATTACAGTTTTGATTAAAGTTGCCTGTCAAATCTCATCAGATCCTGTTTCTGTTGCTTTGTAACACTGCCAAACTTTAGCTCTGGGCTGAAGCTTTCCATGCTGTGTTTTCTACTTCAGCTCATTTTTCTAATGTCAGCCAAATCATTTTTGTGTGTTAAATTCTGATGACCATGTGGTTTTTTGTTTCTGTTTTCTTTGATGGTTCTTTTTTTTTAACATGCAAGCATTTAGTATATCTATAATTGAAAGGAATTTGAAATCTGGGGAAAGGGTTTCCACCCTGAGAAAACAGGCTGGAGTTTCCACCCCATTCTAAACCATTCCCTTTCACTCATCTGCTAAAACCAACCAAAACCAAACCAATGCTACTGTTGAGCTTGCTTCATGCCACCAATGCTGGTAAAAGTCTGCATGTACCATTCCTTCAAGGTAATGTAAACCCAGAGGAAGAAAAACCTGGAGGAAAGGAGGATTGAGATCAGCACTCTCAAATGATGGGAAGACCAGGGTGGATGGGGATTGACAGAGTCGAAGGAAATCTGAGTGAGGCGGGACTTGTATCTGGCTGAGCAGAGGTCAGAGCAGAGGAGCAAGGAATCAAAACGCTGACAGCAAAAGCAAGGTGTGATAAAAAAGATTGCAAGGTGGATGAGAAATGGGCAGAGTGAGTGTAAAGACTGGATAAGTGAAGGGATATAGGGCAGGAGCAAAGAGCTAGTCAGGGGAAGAGAAGAGTAGAATAAAACAGCCCTTGGAGTAGAGAAGGCAGATAAGGATTAGGCCTCTGGCCATCATGGGAATAATCTGCTCCCAGTACTTTCCCTCTCCCCATCCTATAACTGTAAGAGAGCCAAGATCAATCACAGAAATCCTGTCATTAGCTGGAGTAGGTTAAGAATTAATTAGTGTTCTGCCTGCACAAACAACTTTTTTTTTTCCCTTTCATGTGTCTCAGTATACCTGATAACCTGCAGTGAGAACTCAGACAAAACTCACCTCTCTGATAGTTCAAATAAACTAGGCCAACTTTTCAGTGACACAGATGAGCATGTATGTATTACCAGCTATGTGGGGGATGCCACAGCTTCCAGCAGTAGGTGGAGCAGCAATAACTTCTTCTGTTGCTCCAGATACTTTTTCTGGAGGATGTTTGGGGCTGCCATCTTCCCTTTGAAGCCTGGAAAGGAAGCAGTGTGTTTTCAACTGTAAGGCATGTCCCTGTGCTTGGAGTCCCACAGGTCCTCTGCAGTCAGCAGCTCTATGGGAGTGACACACTGGGTCACCCTTTGTGCCGCCCTGCACAGAGAATGACTCTCTGTTGTTGAGTTTTAGGAGCTTGGTGCGTATTGCAATTTTTCATCTATCCAGTGTACCTCCAAAATCTGGGGGAGCTTGGCAGCTGGGAAGAACATAGGAATGTCTTCATCTGCCTTTGTTTACCAAGCAACTACACCCTTGTTTTAAAAGTATTCCAGAAAAAAAACCCCAAAACCGCTTTTATTTTCCTACTAGTTGAATGATCAGTTGAGTGAAAACAGCTGGTAAGCAGAATAGCGAATAAATTCTTACATATCTTTACATACTAGGCCCAATGTCACATTGGTTAGCTATGGTCCTTTAAATAGTACCATTGGTATTTGGTGCCTGTTTGGCCCAGGAAACATTTTTAGCTTTTGCACTAACTCACATTCATTATCAGAACTTTCTGTAATACATCAAATGTTGCTCTAGCTAAATCTACAGATAATCAGAGGGATTTTCAGGCTTTTTTATCTAATCTATCTGCTTACCCTGATCTCATCAAGGCCTGTTTTAGTCTGTACTTGTTATCATTGTTTCAGTTAAGCTGGATGGTAGAAGCCTGTTGGATATACTGTGCAGTTCCTGTGTGAAAACGCATAATGACATAGTACAATCATATATGAATTAAGGACTGTTGTGTGCCACCAAATCTCACTTTATCCAATGCACAAGATGAATAGTGTCGTGGGCTAGATTGTACTTGAGCACCACAGCTGCTAAGGAACAGCTATGCAGCTTTTTTTCCCTGTCATTGTTGAGTGCGTTGTTCCTGCTGTATTGCCTGTGCGCTCTTTCAAGCATTCCCTGAAGACAAAAGTACTGTTTTTCTATGTACTTTTCTCTGGTGGTGTAGTGCTTTGAAACAATTTATCTTCAGAAAATTGCAGCAAGGTGACAGGATGGTGTTATCCCACTTTAGAGGGAGGAAACTGAGGCACACAAAGAATAAGGTAGAGTCCCTGCTAATTTTGAGTGCCAGTTTGAGGTACATAAGTTTTGGCTCTTTCTGGAGCACTTTGAGTATGTGTGTTCAGATACACAACACGAGCAGAGCACTACTGGAAATCAAGCTCCTAGGTTTCCAGCTGAGCGCTCAGATAATGAGGATTAGATCCAGTGGGCGATCACCTTTTGAAATTTGATTTATCCCTGCCTTTTCCACAGACTTCAATTCCAGCTCTTATGAGTAGCATTCCTAGCTTCCTTAATGGTAGCAAGAGTGCGTGTCCCCTTCACACCGACCCTTGTCTCCCTCACTCAGCAGCTCCCAAATTATAAATGAGGTGGATCTGATGGAGACAGTTGGCTCCTGTATTGAGTAGTTCTGATCCCTCCCTGCAGCCAGGCTGTCCTGTGCAGTGCATGAGGCAGGATTCCTGTGGGAGAAATAGAGTAAATGCTCATATACTAAAAGATAATGCATATGCATGACAAGAATCAATTTAAGCTGTCAATGCTGCCGTACTTCTGGCATTTCCTAATTTCTCTTACTTGACTTCACAAGCTTATTTTCAATGAGGCTTTTTGTCCTTAACTGAGATGAGGACAAATTCTTTCTCTTTCACAAGGCTGTTTGTTTACACATTGCTGTTTTCTTTATTCTGACACTTGGTTCAGTGTTTGCCTTTTGGTATAATGGTATATTTAAAATTCTTCCACTGCTGCTTTGTTTTATGCTGCTACCCAAATTAGAATAATCTTTTATGTTAGGAGAAATGTTGCAGGACCAATAGCGAAACTTCATTATTGGATGAAAGCCTGTGAAAAGCTCCAAATAAATGGAGCTTGTGTTAGCCCCTGAAAGTGGTAGTGATGTGGGGATTAATGTTAAGCTGTGCCAAAAATTTCTGTAGTGGAGTGCCTTGCTTAGAGTTGATATTCCTTTGAAAAAGTTTGCCTGACCCTGCTGTTCTACAGTATGGTATTGACTATGACTCTTCTTGAGTAGTCGGTGTTAGGGAATTTTTTTTAGGGCCAGATCCAGCAAGAAACTTAGTGTTGATTGCTTGTCATCTAAGCAATGGGCCCGGGAGGGGATAAGGAATCACTCTTAGAAATTCCTTACTGAGGTAAACATCTCTGTGGCCTGGCACTGGTGGTGATGGTCTTCAGGTCAGATGTATCATAAATGGCTGTGACTGACTAGAGCACCTCGCTGTTCCATTTCTCTTTCAGCAGAGCAGAAGGCAGAACGTGATGAAATTTGTGCTGTTGCAAGTGAGTCCCTGGCTCCAGAGGGAACAAAATTAAATAACAGAAAGCAAAATAAACATTTTTATCCTTCATTACCCCAGCTACCTTCTGAAGAAGAAGAAATAAACAAGCTCGGAAGTCAGATAATTAAACTGACAGAGCAGGCAGTTGCAGAACTGGAAGGGAAAAGAGCAAGCGCTTCCGCAGGGGAGCAGAACACGGTGGCTGGAGCAGAGCTTAATGGTTCATCTGAGGGAGAGTTCCCACTTTGCAGCCCTGACTCATCCGACCCCACAGATCCCTCAAACTCAGAGAACGAACAAACAGCTGAAACTGAGGCCCTGAAAGACAGTGGCGAAATCTCAGAGAGTAATTGTGAAATTCCAAATGAAAGAGGGGATCAAAATAGCAGCACCGTGGATGTGGTGCATACTGAGGACCCTGGAAGGCACAGAGGGCTCAGTGTTACAACTGCACACATGTGAATATTTGGATAGCAGTTTGGCTTGAGGTATGGAATCCAGGCCCTTGAGCATCTCACTGTAATCCATTTGCAGCGTGTGTGCTGCTGCGAATATGGCCGGTGAAACAGTGTGAAACAGGGTTGATTTTTTACATTGAACTGTTAATATTTGTCTAATACAGAAAAACAGCTTTTAGTTTTGGCTACAGTGTACCAAAAATGTAAATTACCTAAGGGAAAGAATTAGTGATGAGGTTTAATCATGTTGGGGTTTTGTAATGATTTGAAGTCTCTACATAGATTGATGTAATTTATATTAGTGTAGCAAAGAGACCAATGATGATGATGTATCATGTTATCACTGGGCTTCTGTAATGTGTATGGTCCTAGTGCTGGACTGCATTTTTATGGTTAGAAGCGTCTTCCAAGGGTGAAAAATTTGGAGTTATAAATTAAGAAGCATTTTAAGGCTGCAAGCTTTTGCTTGTTTCTCAGACTACGTTCTATTTCTTTTCACATACAGTGACTCTGAGTACATCCTTGGAATAAAATCACTATGCCCTTATAGGAAGTTTCTGAAAACCATCCCTGCATGTATATAGTTGTCTCATTACAAACCTTTTTATCTTCTCAACTGTACAAAATTTTTCCTTCCCTCTCCCAGCTCATCTCATGAAAATATAGGGAGTTATTTCACCAGATACTGAGAACTCAGTTTAATGAAGCTCTGAAGGAAACATCATCAGAGAAGCCAGAAGTCTTTCTGTGAGAAATGGCAGTGCTGTTCCATGCAAGGGGAACGGCAAGAGGAGAACCGGTGATGCCCTGTCCACCTGCTTGGCTCTCTCCATTACTGGAATTGCATTTCTCAACTTACAGGAGCTGGAACAGCCCTCGGGCTGGGTAACGGGTGGTAGATTTCAGCCTACTCCATCTGTGCCCTCCTTTTTAAAGGAATCTGTGTCTTTTTTTTCTTTTCTTATGTTTTGGAATTAAGGATAACTCTTCCTTTCCTCCTCAATTCACCAGTCTGTGGTGTGGTAGAAGGTTTATTTGCATTGTTGCCACTTTCTTAAACTTCTCCCCTTGTTGATGTTCAATCACAGGAAAACATTCCTATAATAACTGGGGAAAAGGGAGGCTGCTGTGTCATTCCCTAGCTCGCTCCTGATGCTGGAGCTGTGCCACTCTGCTCCTAGGAAGGCAGCAACAAGGGAATACTTAACGTTGAAGTTAGCAGCTGTTGGAGAAGGGGAGGCACGTCCTTCCTCTCCTGTTTGTAGCATAAGGAATAGGCTCTGCAGCTGTGGAGCTTCTATGGGCCAGCAGCCGTCAAGGCAATTTTTCTGCTGGCTTGGGACCTAATTGTCTGTAAATGTTCATTTCTCACTCCTAGAACTTGAAACCAATCAGAGAGAATTAAACCAAATTTAATAAAATACTACTAATAAAAAGGAAAATCCCTCCCAGATTGAGTCCTCCTTTGACAAATAACTGCCAGCTGCAAATTTTTACAGCCCACTTGTCAGCTACTGAATAAACAGAGTTTATATTAGCAATACTGACAAACTCTTCTGTATATGGAAGATGAGCTAGCAGGTGCTGCCATAATCAAGGTGTCAGAGTCCATGAACAGTTTGTATTCAGCAGAAGAAAGGCTGTATGTAAATTATTATATATAAATATAAGGAATGATAGTGGGAAGGTGAAAAATGTGGCTTGTCTCCGTTCTCATGTGTTTTCCCTAGCAGGTGCATTCCTGTAACCCTTTCAGTGTCTGTCTGCAGGCAAGAAAGCCATACTCACAGTGCTCCTCAAATACGTTTCCTTTCTCTTTAAAGGTAATTTGACATTGCAGCATTTCACTGATAATAAGCAGCAGCCCTTAGGAAGAGAAACCATCTGTATATTTAAGTGTATTAGGGACATGAAGCAGTAAAAAGTTTTTCTGTCATTATCCTGATCACCATTTAAGTTCCTCGTCACCTGAAAAACCGAGAAGAGTTTAAGTATTTGAAAGATTGTTACGCTGTTCCCATTAATTGTAACTGACTGCATTATTGACTCATTTATATGACAGTACTGACAAGTCGGAAGAGAAATAACTGCAGAAACTGAAATCTCCGGGAGATTGTGTCAGGATTTTTTACTTTAATGCTTGAATGTCACATGAAGTAGCATTTTATTCAAGATGTATTCTTTTCCATCCTTCACAGACTAATCCTGCGCAGAGCTAAATACCAATGCAGTCAGAACTGAGGCAAGCAAATAAGAAGGTCAAGATTTCACATAGCCGAGCTCAGAAGTGTTGAGGGTGTTGTTTCCCTGTCCTGTCTTTCCTGACCCATAGTTGTGTGAGTTAGCATTTTGCTCCTGGTCCCTTAACAGCCAGTTAATGCTATTAATTAATGAAGAGCTTGGTGCAAAAATTGGAGCAGGTAGAAGCAGTGCTGGACCAACAGCTTTTTAGTGCCTCATTCATTGATTCTTTTTAGTATGTTTTTTCTGTGAGAACATAGTGATGTACAACCCAACAATTAGGACATCTTGGTAATTATCCTCATACCATTCTCTCTCTTAGATGCCATTTTTATATCTTTGCAATCATTAAATTCCAGTGAGATATGTAGATCTCCGGAAACCTCATTTTTAGTGCTATATCACTGCTGCAGTACCGTCCCTCTCCTTTCTGCCCTGCTGAATGTGTATTCTAGCCTCGTTTTTAGCCTTCTCCCAGGAACACAAGACTTCAAAGCCAGGAGACTTGTAAAGTAAGACATCTTTGCTGCACTATGTGATAACTAATTGAATATTCTTGTCAGTATCTTCCTTGGATATTGCTGTAATTTATATTGTTGTGCTACTAGAACGATGATTTTTTTTCCCAGTAAAATAATTAGTGCTTGGTTGTGGAATCAACACTACTTTAGGTTTTTCAGAGTGGGAATGTTCATTTTATTTGGGGTTTTATGGGGTTTTTTTAGACTTGTGTTCCCTTTTTCTAGGACTTTAGAAATGCAGAAATTGCATCCCAAGCCTTTTAGGTGTTGGGCTCTGGGGAAGCAAACTGGGAAGGGAATGTTGTGGCAGGGGTATGAAGAAAATGCATTTTGCAGACTGATTCTAAGGAGGTTGTCTCACCTAAGAGTGAATTCATGCATTATCTGTGAGAAGGATCTCATTTGAAAGTACGATATTGTTATTTGAAAAACAATGCTCACTGAATTTGTAAAGTAAGTGTGTGAAAATGGCAGATTAAGAAGCATCTTTTAGAATGCTGCTTCTTTTCTAAGTGAGACTATTTTTAAGCATATGGGAATTTGTATAATAAAGACAGTGGAATTTCTTTAATCCATATGAGCTCAGGAATGTATTTCAAAATCTTAGATTGAAAGTCTGCTACATTTCTAAAAGATAGGATTTTGTTTACCAGCTTCTGTTTTGTAGTTTTACTTTCTAAATTATGCAGTTTAATTTATTTGCAAACCTCTCTTTTGTTGCTGCCTGGATTAACTGCACAATGTGGTTCAACTATATTAATACATTTTGTCATCTTTAATAAAAACATTTCCTGATATGCTTGTTCTGCCTGCTTGTTTACTTTTCTCAGTATCAGACGTATTATGGTCATGAGGTAGTGTTTTAGTATTTTCAGTGAGTTGTGTTAAGTTTGAAAAGTAAAGCTTTATTGAGTGACAGTTTTAAGTCTGAAAATTATGTGACTTAAATCTTTTCACTGTCACTTCTCCCAGTCTAAATGGACTGATTTATTTCCTACATTTTTATATGAAGAAACACACTCAGTATTTTTTGGCATTGAAAATTATATTTGTCTCTGATCTGCTAACTTTATCATCATTGTCTAAGCACTAGAAGTTTTGTATACAACTTAGTTACTAACAGGCACAAACTAGAGGCTTTAGGGAATTTTTGCTGGGGAGTGATGGTAAACTGGAGTATTTCTTTTCAGTCTGCTTTCAGATGTAAACAGTGTGACTTAGCTATAGCCATGTGGACAATTTAAAATAGTTGAGAAGCCTATACATGTTTGAGAATAAACCCTGAATATACAGATAGCATAACATAATAGATCTAAAGTTGAAAACAGAAATGTTTGTACTTTCCCTTATTTTTAGGGGAAGTCCATTTATCCAGCTCTTGCAACACAACACCCAGCCCTGTTGAAAGCATACGAGATCATTTTGCCTTTCAGATTTGCAGCTAAATACAGGATAGTGTCTAATGGGAGGCAATTTCTTACTTACTCATGTTAACCTTTTTCTCCTTTGGTATCTAACTTAAGAGCCCCTAAGAGCCCCTTACAGCGCACAGACTCTTTACAGACTATCGACCGTATCCGTTAGCACTCCTACTTACATGCATTCAACTCCCAAACTGGATAAAAGGGAATCTTTTCAAGTAAATACATCACAATGTTGAGTTGATGCTGGTTTTATTGATAGGCTTACAGAAAGGAGGCTCTACAAAGTGATGCGCATTTCTTAGAGGAGCAAGCGAATGGCAACGAGAATCCTTTAGCCGTGTATCTTAGCAGCCAGTGGCACAGCCTAAGGTACTTTGTGCTGCCCAGGCCATAGCGGGCCTGTTGGTCTTCACTTAAACCCGGTTCTATGTTTGTTTGTTGAGCCCTCTCTTCTTCTTGTCTGTAACCTCAGGCAGTTTCTCTTCCCACAGGTTCTTGTTGCATATCCCAATCACGCAGCAGGCCAGACGTTTCCCGGCGTTTCCGTTTTCCAAACTGGCCTTGTTGTTGCCCTTGCCCATGTCATCTTCCTGCTCATGGATCACAACGGATCTGCCCATGATGGAATATGGACCAAACATAGTGGCAAAGAGATTTGGTTTGTATTTTCTGATTTTGCCTTCTTTAGGAAAAAAGTTGCCGAAATCCCCTGGGTGACGGGGGTGATTCACGCTGAAAGGGTTATAGTGTGCTCCTGTAGAATCACAGCCGTTGCTGAGATCTCCAAGCTCGTGGATGTGTATAGCTCTACCAGATTGATTATTATCCAACGGAAACCCATCCAAGTAAAAAATGGCTTCTAATCTTCCACATGAGTAACACTGTCTGAATAAGACTTGTCCAGTCACTTGTGGCTTGTCAGCATCTATTTTGGAGCTGGGCTTCATTTCACAAGTGGCGTAAATCATCCTATCTGTCTCATTACCGGGCATTACCGGATAGAGCAAATTCTGCCAGAGGTCGTTCACTTTTTTCTGCATGTCATGAAATGGCTCCTGGCTTTGATCCATTTCTTTGTCTGTCATGACATCAGCGACAGACAGGGCAAGCCCAGCGACCAGAGAAAGAAGCAGGAGCATCTTGGCAGCTCAGAGCCTGCAAAAGGTACAAGAAGCTACAAAGAATTACGGGCATTTTGCAGCACTAAGGCTGGAAAGGAAGGCAGGCAGCCCGTGGTGGGGCTGAGCAAAACAGCTGGAGCACAGTCCCCGTGGACTGCTGCTTTCTAAATCTGGCTGATGTGATGAACCGAAACTAAATCAGAACACACACACTTGTTTAAACACATACAACTGACACCCACGACTGAAATACATACTAGTGATTCTGTATTTTACACTAGATCTTGATCTTAAAAACTGCCTCTGTTTCCCTGCAGGAACCAAGTAAGCCAAAGTGTTATTAAATCTGTTTCTGAGTTTGTCTTGAGACCTTTTTTCCTGCTACAAATTCCAGCAAGAGAGTTTGCCAGGAGGCTTTTTTTTGTGCCATCTACTTAACCGCTCGTTAGGCACTACAAACGAAAAGTAAAAATCCAACAAGTTGATTACCTTGCAGAGCTGCTGCAGACCCCCTCAGTAGTCACTCTTTGCCTCTGCTTCCCTAAAACGAGATGTGATCAGGCAGAAAGCCAGAGCTGTTTGAAGTTGATGCTTATGGGAACTGCGTGTTTGTGTAAAAGTTAGGTAATGCTGGCTCAGGGGAGGCGTCACCGGGAGATCCGTGGGAGGGGAGGGAGGGAGGGACGGGGGGGAAAGTTACGGGGGGGAAAGTTTTAAGCATTTTTGTTTTGGGCAGGGTGAACACTTTGTCCTTCCTTGCTCAGTTTGTTAGTCTGGCCCCTGGTCCTCATCAATGTTCCAACAAGGAAAAAAAATGTTCAAGCTTTTAAGCTTTTTGATGGCTTCATGTGCTTATCTAAGGCGAGTGACCTTCAGCACGCAGTGAGGGGAGAGGAAGGAGCTTTATCAAGGCAGAGTTGGGCAGTTCGCTCGCTTCTGTGCTGGTCATCCTGGAGCTGGTTTGCCTTCTCATTTCTTAATGGTCAAAATTGAAAGTGGTGTTTGAGCAACACAAACTGTTCCATGTGGACGTATACCAAAGCTTCTGGGGTCTTAAAACCTAAATTCAAACTGTAGATGCTGAAGTACGTTTCAGCGGTGCTTCTCTGTGAAGTTTTAGGGCTAGTTAGTGTCTGCTGATTTACTCGCCAAGTTACCTGCGCCACGGATAGCCATTTTTTTTCTTCTTTTTCTGGAGACAGCAGTGATTTCTTTCCGGAGAGAGAAGTAAGCAGTACCGAGGCAGTGCAACATCAAACTGAGGTACAGAGAAATTGTTTCCCAGAAGCTGTCTGGAGCACGGAGGGTTCACGTGTGTTTCATCATCCCGTGAACTGCGAAACGCTCTCCTCTTGGGGGCATTGCCCTGCCTGCAGCGCTTCCCGCTGTTGTAGCTGAAATGCGGATTCAGCCGTCACAAGAGCAATTTAATGGGCTGAGATTTCTGTAGAGAGAAAAGAGTAGCCCTTATTACTCAGGAACAATTCTCAACACAAGAAAATTGCAAAGAAAATCCTTTTCCCCAGTTCATGTCTGCTGCCAGCTGGGTAAGGAATGTGACTGTCAGCTTCTGGAATGGCAAAATTGTGTGTGTTAATCTTACTGCTATCATATTCTACATCAGATCTGAGATACTCTGTCATCTGAGAGCTGATTTTTTTTCTTTCTGTATGAGGGAGAGAGGAGCTAAAGGGGTGTCCGCTGCTGGGATCGTTAGCCAGGGACTGGAAATACCAAGTTAACTTCTGCTTGGGATAGTGGGATACTGGACGTGTTACTTGAGCCCTGGGCTTCAGTTCCTAATCTAAGAATTAGGGCAACTAGTATTTCTTTTCCCCAGGGTATTCACGAGTTGTTCAGGTTAAGTGCTTGTGGGAACCATGCAGTGTTCCCGGTGTTCAGTGGAAGCTGAACTCTTTAAGTCCAAGAGCTGGGATTGCCTGTCACCCCAAGCCTAGCGCTACTGCCTCCGCAGCCTTTTCCCGGCTTCATTCAGCGGCGGTCTCTGAGCTGGAGAAATCCATACTTGCCACATGGTAATACTGTGAAATTGCTTGGTTTTAAAGCATTTGAGAGAAGCAAAATGTTTTATAATCAGGTTTTATAAATATATGCAAAAAATGTTCAGCCAACAACTAGCCAAATGCAAGGGTGGGTGGTTAAAGTTTGTAAAATGCAAGAAGCAACTGTCCCATTTAGGTACTATTAGAAAACCTATTTCTTAGCATCATAAACCATATTTTAAGGGGACGTGATGAATGGAAGGAAGAAAGAAGCATCATTCATGGTTTACTCCTTGGGTCACAAAGCAGCGCACTGCAATTGAGTTGAATGCTTCTGCAAGGAAATTGCCAAGACAGCAGTCAACGCTCCAAGAAAAGAATTTTAAAGCTCTGCTTGAATTATAAGGCATTTTGAAATAGGAACTAGGGTCAGAATTTTAGCTGGTTTAAATACAATAATGCTGCTGACTTCAGTGGCATTTGTGCTCTTTTACGCCAGCTGGGATTCTGTCCCTGAAAAAAAAAACCCCACCCTGCAAAGCCCAAGGTACCTGCTGCAAAACACTTTTTTGATGTACTGCACATGCAGGAACGAAGCAGAAATGCAGAAGGGTGTAAAGGAGATGATCAAAGGGACAGAAAGGACTGCAGCAAAGCTAAATGATATATTTGAAATGCTCTTCACTTCAGAGAATGAAAAGGAAATACTAGCTGTGGGCTGCTGTCAGAAAGATGTATTTTAGAAAGGAGAAGGGCTGATAACTACAAGAAATGCAATTGCCAGGGTGATTTGGCATTCAGTCTGGGTCTGAAAGATGGAAGTCGCTAAGTACCAGGTGTATCATTAAAGTCTATTGTTACCCACTGCCTATGTTTTAGTTTCCTGTTTAAATAGAGGTGCTGAATAGTGGGCTAACAGCCCTTAAAGCAGACAGCAGTTAATGGGAGGAAAGCCCATGGTGACCTGACCATGCACTGGTACCTGTGTTACAATCCCTGTTTAAAAAATAGACCTCTGCTTTTGTCCCAGTTGTACTGGATCTTTCGTATCCTGAATTTCATGCAACGTCCTAGAGTCTCCCGGGCTATAAGAGATAGAGTCATCAAAACAACTTCTGCGAGGCTTGCTAGACTGCATAGAAAAACCAGACTTAGCTTTACTCATGGGCTTTTAAATGGACTTTATACACGGTCCTGCTCACAAGTTCTCAATCCATGCTATGACCTTCAAGGTTGGTTGGTTGGTTGTTGGGTTTGTTTCGTGGTGACATCATCCCATTGCATCACCTTGCTGTTCAACTTAGCATTTGATTTGTCCAGCGTAGAGTTAAACGTGACGAAGAAACACTGCATAGGACAGCATCCTTTTGTAGCAAGCAGTAGCCTTATTTTGTGTCTCCAGCAGCTGGATCTGCTGTTCTCAGTAATTTTATGGGGGAATGATTCTCCATAAAAATGACACCCGGAGAAGACAGGTTTTACGTCATCTGCTGGACGTCTGATAGAGCTGACTGCTTTTCTGCACGTATGGCTGAGGCTGGAGCCACTAAAAGAAGGGGGATATTTGTAGCCTGAGGGAAGCAGGGTCATAATCTTCAGGAACCTCATCTTCTCCTTCAGCTTAGGGCACTTGCTGCCCTTTCGGAGTCACGGTCCCAGCTTGGGACTTGTTATGCTGGTGGGTCATCAGGCCGCAGCAGGGGCATCCAGCATTGGTTGGGGTGTGGGATTTACCTGCCTGCTGCACAGAGGCGGCCGGGCACCAAACCTCCCACAAGTTGAGCATGGCACGGTACCGTACGTGCTCCGCTCGGCGCCTGCCTGCGAGCGCAGATCCAGCCTCGCGTGACGTCTGGCGCGGCCCCGTACCTGTCTGTGAGTCAGTGGGTAAAGCCTGCGGCGGGGATTTTCAGCTTTGAGCAGTGCTGCCGAGTCAGGCAGGATTTAGAAAGCAGAAATGCTGTCAGGGCATCTGCAAAAGTGCAATTACTTTGGCTATTTACTGCCTGACGTGCTGTCCAACACGGCTTGCCAATGTCGAGGGGAGCTCCAGTGCTCGTGAGAGAGGGGCTTCGTCCTTGACCGAGCGGTTTTAGCCTCCATGGTAAGCACAGGGCTGGGGCTGGACTACAAGCAGCACCTTGTCCCGCAGAAATCACGGTGGAGGATTTGCAATCGTTTGCAATTGCTGTACGGAGAAAAAAAAAAAGAAAATGAAAAATCTTGCTGTAGCAAACAGAAAATCTGTCACTGGTCTAGGCTTACTCTTCATGTTTATTCCTGTTCCTTGACTTGGTGGTTCTATTTAAAGAAATAAAGATATTTAGTCCCTGAGATAAGCATCCATTTATAATATGCTTGCAAAAGAGCTATATGCGTTTCTAACTTTTCAGTTGGCAAAAAATCAAAGTAAAGAAAAAAATCCAGTTAAATAAATATACAAAAGGGAAACAACACTGTTCTCTCTGGAGAATAATTTCTCTTGAAAATAGAAGATCACGCAACTGTCAAACTACTCTACATCAGCCAATTTGAAAAATTCCTGAAATTATTCCTCTTTAATAGCTTGAGAAGAAATCATTTTATGAGTGAGGGAGAGATGAACTGTAAGCAAGCTTTTTGAAAAAGCTGCATTCAGAAACTCATTCTAGGTCTGTCAACCTAATTTAACAGAATTTCATCGTCACATGTGGATATAAAATACAAATATGTAATGTAAAAAGTAGGGATGGAACCCAGCTATTAGATAATTTATGCTATTATTTGTGTTTGCATTAATTCCCTGATCCTTTATTAAAAGTTTATCCTTTCTGCTGCGTAGCATTAATCTGAAGAGGGGTTTGCTGTTTGAGAGGAGGCAAGAAATAATCGCAAGACTTTCCTCAAGCCACGGGGAGGTTGGGCCAGTAGGCCAGATACACGAGCAGCAGTTATGTACAAATAACTAAATACAAAACCATCTCTCTTTTTATGACACTTAATAGCAGGTGTCTCAGAAGTCTAACGATCGTCGCGGATGAACTGAGCATGGTTTTCAGCTATTTCTGTCCTTCTGGTGTACTGAAGAGACACAACCGGCCCCTTCCTACAGGAACAAGCCCCGTCCTGGCCCGGGCTCATCCCTCTCCTCAGGAGCATGGTGAGAGAGGGCAGGTAAGAGCCACTGCAAGAAGCAGGGGTGGGAGCAGGCAGGAAAGGAGGAATTACAGATACTTCTACAAGCAAAAAGTTTAAGAGTCCCCAAACTGGCCTGAGAATTCTTCGCATCTTTCAGTTGAACTTTTACTAAAGGATTGGTGCAGTTTCACCTAAGCAGCAGACAGTATTTCAAATAAGAGGGTTTAAACTCTTTTGATTTACATATTGCAATGCAGACACACTTTGCTTTATTTCAACAAAACATAACCCAGCATTCTCTTTCAATAACCTCCGAAATTTATTTGAAAGGCTATGGACTGTCATGGATACCCTGTGCAGTCAAAGAGTAGGAGGAAAGCGAACTGTGCAAAGAAATACAAGTTGTTTTAAAGAATTCTAGGGAAGTGGTGGTGTGCCCACTAATGCCCCCTTGTTTTATATCCGTGCTAAAGTCTGAAAGGGATTTAGAGACACCGTACCCAACCATGCCAACGTAAATCACGACTTAAGCTTGTCTATCCTGTTCTTAAAACTCATCATTGATCTACCATCACCTATCTACCATCTACACCAAGCTGCCATCACCCATGGCTCAACTATCCTTCCTCTCACAGGTTTTTCTGCTCTCTTGGGTGGGTTGGTTCTTTTCTTCTTTGCAACAGCCTCATGCAAACTTGAGAGTTTAACTCTCTACCAGTGGCCCTTCCCTTTTTCAGCTAAACAGTCTGGATTCTTTTAAGCTTTCTTTCTAAATTTTGTAGGCTCCTACACTGAGTAGATTGCCTTTTCCTACAGGCTGTGCACCTCTTTCTGGAAGAGAAGTGCCCAAACATCTCAGCGCGTCAGCCGAGCAGTGTGGCCTACTGCTGCCCTTCTCTTGCAGACTGCATTACTCTCTACGTCATAACGTGAGCTTTGCCTGATCCTTTCCTGCAGAACTGCTGTCAATGCAATTGCTTCCATTTTACATTTCTTTAGCTGGCTATTCCTGCCAAGTATGGGATTTTAACGGGATTTCACCTTTGTCTTAACTGAGTTACCTCCTTTTCTTTTTTTTTTTTTTTTATTTCCCCCACCCCTTATGGTTTCTCTAGCTTGTCACAAACATTTTGAATTCTAATCCTTCCCCACAGTGTATTTACAGCCCTTCCAGCTTGGTGTCAGCTGTGAATTTAATCAGTTTACTTCTTGTTCTGTCATCCAAGTCATTAACAGAAGGGCTGAGTAAAATCAAATCTCAGACAAACTTCTGCACCCACGGCAGGCTGTCCTCCCCATTGGGAACTGACTGGTTTCCAGACTGGGAGCAGGTTTCCCACGGTCTCTGTACCTGCTTTATAGGAGTGTGATCAAGACCATTTTTTGCCCCCCCAGCTTGTGTGTAAGACTGTCATGTGAGATAGTAGTTAAGTTATTTAGTAAAGTAAATAAAGTTAGGATAAACATCTACTTCTCTGTATGCAAGACTTGGTATTCTCTTGAAGAAAGAAAATAATAAAAAAAAATCCTGATGCCTTTTATTTATCTCCCTTTCTGGCTTTCAGGCGAAAAAAAAAAAAATCCTGATGTCTTTTATTTATCTCCCTTTCTGGCTTTCAGGTGAGTGCAGAAAGTTTGCCTCTTTCAGTGGTTCTTCTGTGGCTGTCACTCCCAGGCTGAGCCTCACCAATCCTCCCTGAGCCCTCAGACTTCAGAGGAACCAAAAGTGTTTACTGGCCCTGTCTCAATGTATCTGCATTACCAGTATTCCCCTGGGAGAGGCAACGTGTCTTTGAAGTGCTGCTTGACACTAAGCAGTGTCTGAAACCTTACGCACCCAAAACCTAATGAAAAGCCACTTTTTATGTGCACATCCCCACATTGCTCTATCTCCCTTCTGCCAAAATTCTGATGTATTTTAATGTTACAACAGCTATGGAAGCAAAGATGAGGTTAATTCATGCTAACTAGACTAAATATGTTTCCAAAGGTTCACATTTCTGACCCTCTTCTTGCAAGCAGCACCCATTTGTAAAAGTCTCCCAGTTTGTCCCCGTTCCCCACCACCTTCATTGCCACTGCCAATACTGGCACACCTCACCAAAACCAGGAAAGCTATGCCCATTCCTAAGTTTGCATTTTAACGTTGAGTCATGTGTGCATGTCAAGTTACTAAATAAAGCAAAAAATGATGAGGTTTTATTTACTAGCTCAGGAGGATCCCAGTACTCCCAGGCCACAGACCAGAAGCCTCCCGTTGGCGCTTAAATCCTTGCTGACACCTGCAGGCACCAAAGGCTGTGCTTTGCATGAGAGCAAGCAGGAGCTCAGCAGAAGCTGAGGGCAATCATGTTTTAGGAAGACAAAAGCCCACCTGGCTTGGATAGTAGGCAGCAGCTCCTCCTCTGATAAGAGCCCAAGTGCAAATGCTGTGCATGGAGGCCAGTGCTGTGGGGCCAGCAGCTATGAATGGCAGTGGCCCTGGGCTTCTGCTGGGGTCAATGCTCAGCAGCATCTGGGAGGCTCCTGAGGAGGTTCCTTGTCCTTGAATGCTGCAGGAAAGCAGGTTGAGTTCCTGGAGGCTTTCTCAAAGCAGGTATTTCACCACAGATGTTGTTCTATGCTACTAATAAAAAAAAAAATTATGGCTTACTGTTGGATCCTCATCTCCTTTGAAAATAGCGTATAGTACTTCAGGACCTGAACCTCTTGGTATTTTTCAAAGCAGTTTGTGGTAAAAGCCACTGTATTTGTATCTTTCAGAACAGCAGAAAAAGAAAAGAAAAAACATGGTGGGTTTTTTTTTTTTTTTTAGAGTAAAAATTGTTTTCATGTTAAGTGGCTCCCCACCTCTTTAGCCATATTTATTTTAGTGTGTTGATTTTTGTAAGCATAACTGAAACCCTGGGAGACTAATGAAGTTTAACAATGTCTGTTAATTATATCCACTCTTGTTGTCTTGGTGAAAACACAGGATCCTAAATCCTATTTACAAACTGAAATCTCAGAAGTTCCAGCCCCTCATCTGACCTTAACATCTCTTGGTTTCATGCAGCTTTTGTAAGCCTGTGCACGTATTTAAGTTCCCCTGTGGAGAATGGTTTTGGAGATCAGATGTTCAGGGATTAGGAACACAAGAGGCTTTTTACCTTGCTTAAAATCATTTTGACATTTTAGTGTAAGTCATTAAGACTGGTTTCTTGAACTGTCAAATGGGCCACCGTATGGGTGAACCATTTTTAGGAAAACTAAATAAAACTATTTTAATCTCTAAATGACTCCCCTTTGAGAATTTTAACATAAATGTTTTGCACACTCTGAAGTTCCTATCTGAGGTAAATATTTTCACCTGAATTCCTCCCCTAGGAAGATTAATTCCCAAGTAAATAATTAAAGTAAGGGGCCATCCTGAGGGAGAGCAAGTAGGGATGGTCACTTCTTGAAGATGCTCTTAGTATTGTTTATATTTGCTTTTGCTTTCTCTCTTTTGTGCAGTCAAACAAAGCTTCCCCCAATGGTGTCAGGTTTTAGGATCTCTGCAGAGCTGCAGCGTGGTTCTGTGGGTTCTGATGTCAGACCAGGTGAATCCCATTAGTTCCAACCCAGCAGCACCAAGGATCTGAGCATCTCTGAAGCCAGGTGTTTGGCTCTAGAAAAACAGAGGATCGACAGGAGGCAAAAACCACGAAGGGACTAAGTTTATACCAGCCCCAGTGTATGCATTAATAAGCAAGACTGAGAATACCACCTGCTTACAGAAAGGTTTTCAACTCGCAGGGCATGGAGTTCTTAATAGTATCCATTAGATATAATGAGGTTTGCTGGTGCAGATTTCCCCCATGAAGTTAGTACACACTTGTACAAAATAAAGCTCTTGCTGGGCTGTTTTTGAATGTGGAGTCTTTCGGTTCCAGTTAAAAAGGATAACCAGGTGTTTTCCAGGGCACACGGAGAAATCTTTGGATTGGTTGTTGTTCCTACTCTCGGCATTAGGATGCCTGCAAAAAAAGAATAAAAACACAGAAGTATTTCACTGTGGCCTTCTTGAAAGGAAAGCAATCCTGCAAATGCATCAGAAATTGTTCTAATAGATGCAGGAAAAACAAAGAAAAATCCATTTTCTTTGTCCTCTTATTTTGTTACAAACCTTCCTTCCATCTTCAGCCTCCAGGTTCCCCTCCCATGAGTTGTCTGTTTTGTCTCTTGCAAGACTTTATTCCCCAAACCTGGAGATGTTATTAAAACTGAGGATTATAAAGTTATGTAGTACGTGGTAGAAGCCAGATACAGATTGGATGTTTTTATTAGAGGATTACCAAATTTTGTTAACAGGAGGGCGCCTGAGTAATTCCACTGGAAGCTCTGCTGTGCTTGTTATGAAACATCTGATCCCGAAGCAGACAGAGCTGCACCTCAGCAAGGTCCAGTTCTCTAACCATGCCAAGGAGAGGTCATGTTTGTGATGTGTAAAGCTGGGTCACTGCAAATGGTGTATAATGGTTTCAGTGGAAAAAGTGTAGTGGTCATGGCAGAAAGTATCTCGCCTACCATAAAATGCCAAATATCCCAATGTCATGTTCACTTCAGAATCCTTTTCCACTGCTGGGAGATATTATAGGCAACAAAATAAAATCAGCGTATGAGGTATGTGCTTCAGTGGTAGTTTTAAATATAGTGACAATGTCTAACACTCTTTGTAGCTTTTCATAAATCGCATATCCCTAGTACATGACGCTAGGCCCTTATGCAAACTTCTTGCTCCTAAGGCATGAGATTATGATGATATATAACTCTTAATGTCGATACATTGGTGTGCATGTAAATAAGGGGTTAACTCAAGCTAGAGAACCTAAAGAAATTGGAGGAGCGCATCAACACACACACAAAAAAATCTGACCTTAGACCACCACTTTTTCATAGTGGTGAACTTGTCTAACTAAGGCCACCCAAGAGTTACTGAGGAGGTAATTTCCACAGGTTCTTCATTTAAGATGAGGGCGAGCCAAGAAATTTCCAGAAGCTTCTAGCGTGGCTGGTACCATCCTGTGATGGGTTAACCCTGCTGGGCAGCTCAGACCCACCCAGCCACTCATGCCCCAACGAACAGGATGGAGGAGAGAACTGGAAGGGCAGAAGTGCAAAAACTTGTGGGTTGAGATAAAGACAGTTGGAGGTGGAAGGGAAGGCAAAAGACAACATGTGATGAAAAAAGCAATCGCTCCCCACCAGCAGTCCAGTGCCCAGCAGTCCCCGAGTAATGGCAACTTTGGAAAAGCTTTGGCCCCTAGGTTTATTGCTGACCATGATGTCATATGGTGTGGAATATCCCTTTGGGTGATTTGGGTCAGCTGTCCCAGCTGCATCCCCTCTCAGCTTCCTGTGCCCCCCCAGCCTCCTCACTGGTGTCAGAAGCAGAAAACGCCTTGACTCTGTGTGATCACTGCTCAGCAACAGCTAAAACATCCCTGTGTTATCAACACCATATTGGTGGTTGGTCAGAAATCCAAACTCATATGAGCTACTGTGAAGAAATTTAACTCCATCCCAGCCAGACCCAGTATGCCTGCAAGGCTCAATGCTGGCATAGCCCTGTACTGGAAGGGAAAAAGAGAAACCAGATTTCTAAGTCACAGCTAATGTGGTTTGCAATTCCAAGAGGACAGTGAAAGGTATTGAATAAGAACTTTGTTTTGTACTTCCAGGTACACCTTTCCTTCTGCCACAGGGCTGAATTACTGCTGCTGTGATAATAAAGTCCACTTGATTTGTCTGAACAGACTCCTAATCGCTTAATAAATCACTTTAAAAGTTATTTGGTAGAGTGGCAAATTATTAACTGGCTGGAGATCCAGCAAGTAGCAGCTGTTTCATACTAGAAACTTGACTGGGAGACCTGGCCCAAGAATGCCTGTATTCGGTGCCAGAACCATGATTTCTTATATGTTTTAAAGTTATTCCCCACTTGAATCCACAGGGAAAGGGAAAAATCGGGGTCTGTGTATATAATTTTAAAGTGTAATTAGTGGCATAAATTAATGTTTGGTATTTATACTATATTTATATATTTCCTAGCTGTGAATTAGTCATACAGATCTTGCTTCACTCTGAATCTATTCATCAATTTGAGTTCTTGTGGTTATCCAGTTTATTAAAATCTAGTTGTATGTTTCTGCAGGAAGAATGAGTAGCTTTTGCCTTGGTTATGGATATTTACTCATGTTTCTTACTAGACCTAGGATGGCATAGTAGGATTCTTGGTTTTCTTTTTGATTTAATAGATAATTTTGAATTTTAAAATTGCTCTCAATATCCAACAGGGTGGGGATTTTAAAATCAACTTTGGGGAAATTCAGCTAGAATTCTACTATGAAACGCCAATTTTAAAAAACATCACAACAGATGGTAAGTCTCTCTATAAGGTAGAATAGGGGATGCACAATATAATTGCATAGTTATGCTTTCCCCATTATAGCCATTGATTCTTATTTTTCAGACAATAAAAGAGAATCTCTGGATCCCTAACACCTCTGGTGTGGTGTGACTACATAGTTTGATAATTGCTGCATGTAGCTTCATCAAAGAATATTGTTGCATCACGACAGGAAATATGGTCCTAAGATTAAAGGCAGATTTGGATTCAGGATGCATTTTAGTCAGTGTCTTTCTCTTGACACGGAATAAGCCATCTAACCTCCTCCTACCTCCAATTTGCCCTTCTTCAGAATGTTGATAACAATGACTCACTTCCTCCTGGGGGTACTTCAAGGCTTAGATGAAGTCTGAGAAGTTGGGTTTGACCCTGAGAAAATTGATGTCAGAAATTGCAATATTGGAATACTAATCTTCCAAGGCTTGGACAAATAATTGTCCACAAATGAAAAGCTATTTTCTCTGCAATTTTTTTGGCCTCCTTCATAATATTCCTTGAATTAGTAAAGTCCAAACTTAATACAGACAACAGAGGAGACAGTGGACACTGCTTGCTTAAGTAAACAACAGCCAGAGCCCAAATTATTAGTAAATACCAAGGCTTCATTTAGGTTGAATAACGCTGCAATCCAACAAATAAATGAGCCATCAAGTTTGAATTTATGTAGCATACGAAACACATTAAAGCCATCTGACCATGACAAAGGCCTTTTCTGCTGTGAATAATGAGGCCAACACATTATAATATCTTTTAGATGAGACATTAAACCCAAGGTCCTTTCTGTTTGTCTCTGGTGGCTGTCCAGGTGGAAGTTAAAGACTCCATGGCATTTTGCTAAAACCATAGAAAATCTCCAGCCTCCAATGGTATTACTTTCCCTGTAAATAAATAAAATAAATTAAAAAATTAGAATAGCTAAGGCTGTGCATGTGTTGAATATCATCAAGCAAAATGCCAGCTTTCCTATCCATGAGGGCAATGGGGAAAGTTCTCCTGCTTTAGTGGGAGCAAGGTCAGTGTCCCTGTATGAACGTAGGACTTGGAAAGTCCTTTGGGATCTTGAGAATGTAAAGCACAGAATGCTTCATTCTTATCATTAACTCATGTTGTGGTAAAGAAGAACAAATCGAAATAATTATGTTTGTGTGTGTCTGTGCTCGGATAACTAGACATGCACCTCTATGCGTGTCATTTCCAAGAAGAAATGTTTGAGAGACAAACAGAAAATAATTATACCAGGAAAAATTTCTTACCTTAGCCTGTACATGTATGATTCATTTCACAAGTCCATCTCAATTTTCAGTTGCTCTTGTATAATTCTAATGACTTTGTATCACTTGAGATATTTTAGCTATACTTTTAGTTTGATATGAGCCTCAGTGAACATTTATCTACCAAGTGGAAACCAGGCTCTTGTTCCCTGTGCCTGCATCTCAGTTGTGTAGTTTCACAATAAAGTTTCTTAGTGTTGGACTCTCATAAGGGTATGGTACGAGAGGAGGTCACGTGAAAGGTAAACTTCAGAGTCCTCTCATAGGTGTAAATCTATTATCTTATTGTCATCATGTGGACTGAACTCACTTATTTGAATTCAAAGGAATTAAAGAGATGATGAGAACCCCTTGAAAGGAACAGAAGAATCATGCTGGAGCTGAACCCCCTTTGCAGCAGAGATGATAAAGCCTTTCATGAAGAACTGACTGATGAATCTGGGCATCTTTCAATTTTCTGAATAATGAGCCAGTTCTTCCCTCTTGCTGAGAAACATATGGGATGTGAGGAAATCGGCTGGAAACCCAGCCATGTCTGTCCCATTCGCCATCCTCCCCGCTAGAGGCGGGGAAGTGGTGCCTTATGAGAAAAGGTGGTGTGAGGGAAACCTTGGTGTTCAGTTAAAGCAAACTCTGTCTTTGTGAGTCTTGTGCCCCTTGATGTCCGTTCCCCTTTT